TTTTTCTATAAAATGGCATATTCTTTAGAGAACTTTTCTAAATAGTTAAAATTTTATGAAGAATATAGTCAAAATTTTTGACTTTTTACTGAATTAATAAAAAAAACCTAAAATGTTATTATCGTCATTATAAATACCTTGATATCAAACTCATATCTATTATTGAAATCAGATACGATTTACAGGTTGAGCAAAAACGATAGTGAATTACTGATATTTAATGGTTGTTATTCTTATTATTACATTGTGTCCATTATGAGATAATAAATATTAAAGCGATATAAAAATCAATAATACTTAATGGATGTCGATTATATCCTATTTTGCAATCGTTTTTGCTCCACCTGTAAATACTTGTCGACTTCAAATTAATGTCATGCCAGTAAACAGAGTTTGCTATCTAGTTATTTAATACATCTATGGCGATATATTATATATTATGATAGCATATAAATCACAAAATACATTAAATTAATTTAAATGACTTAATGAATTAAATTTTAGTGACTAGTCTGTAGAGTAGAGTAGTCCATAGATCAGTATACTAGTCTACATAGAAATATAGAATAAATCATAGATCTTATACTAATAAAGTGACCTTGCCTAAAGAGTAGCTGTGGTAGTAACCGGTCAGACATCCTACAGTGGTGTATAGTATAATCGCATCAGTGTTGTCATTGTTTGTGTAGTACAATGTACAATAATACCACGTAAAAGTCACAAGTCACACATGAAAAGCGCCCTCTATCGATGACCGTTCTGCGTATACAAAAAGTCAGTCCATTAGTACAAAATATATGGAATAAACTGACAAACGATGTATTCGATTGTGGTACTGCAGTGTCTAACAAAAGCGAACGGTGATAAGCGCTTATACTCGTTTATAGCGCACAAAGTATAATACACAAACGCACCCAAAAATATAATTGTCCGGTCGCGTTCGGCATGACCCAGTACCAGCTGCAGTGACCCACATCGCAGACGCCGAACGCGGGCTTTAGTGCGAAATTCGCATACATTTTTTTGGCCTCGTGACCTAGCCGGTAACCCCCGCTACCTCCACTGAAAACCTACTGTTCAGTCGATTTTTCGAAAATCACCTATTACGCGGCCACGCGTACACGCACAATAGCGGTTCCACGTAACCGTTCGTGGGTGCGTTCGAGGGTCCATCACCCCGCCACGACGCGTCCTTATCGTCCCCCCCGTCTTCGTCTCGCCGTCTAATCAGTTAATCTGTAATCATTGTCCACGGGGCCCGTGCGCGTGAATGTGAGACGTGTCTACACTCGGCAATTAATACACACAGTCACGGGAATTGATAGCGAAAAGAAAACGAAATTCTGATTTTATCGTCGAGTTGTGTTATCCTCGACAATCGCGACTTTGCAAGTCGGATCTGAACACGTCGTCGGTATTGCGTACAATTACTTCGCCAGTTATTTTCTGTCCCGTTTCCTTGTGCGCTGATATTAATGTTATTATCATAACACCGCCCTCTACGAGTTACGACGCCCGTCATATTTCTTTGTGTTATTTTGTTTTTACGATTTTTTGAAAATGCCATAGGTATTTTTTTATTTGTATCACCATGAAAACGAAACCCTTGATTAGTGTTAGTACGATGTTTACAGTAACAGCGACGACGTTCAGTTTATAAGGCGAGTTTCGACGGGTTAGTTGAGAAATTTATGCCTACGTGATTAGATTTTGTTTTATTTACATTTTTATTTCTATTTAACCTGGAAACCTTGGGCCACATATTTATAATCGAATAGTGTCAAGTTGGTGTATTTTTTCAAGTTTCCCATATCTGTATCCAGTTTGATATTATCATATACCTAAGTATCATGGATCATCAACAGAGATTGAACTATTTCCAACAAAACCGTAAGTATTAAAAAATTAATTTTCCAACTTTACCAGTTTAACATACCTACCTACCACATACCTATATATATTATACATACCTATATTATAATAATATTATGATATAACAATGGGTTTTTTTGAATTGAACAAATTTTCTTTTTTCGCTCAGCCAATTCCCTTCTAAATGGACAATCGACATTCAATCGATCGTCCATGGATGGTGTCCAGCCGACTCTTAATTATTTGGGTAATTCTTGTATCTTTATTATTTATGTCTACCTAAATACCTACAAAATTTTAACTAATTAATTTAATTGGTACATCTGTAGCACATATGAAAAATGGCTACTTTTAAATTCTGTAAAATAATCAGTGAATATATGATAAAAATATTTAAATGCATTTTTACAGATTACATATCTGAATTAGTGTCAAAGATCTATAAAGATCTATTTATACAATATTTACTTAAATATTTTGTTATCATTATAGATATGATTTTTCAAAATTGTGTTTTCTTTGATATACTCTCTATGAAATAATATTATTATCTAATATATTACCTAATTTTGGTATAAGTGTGTAACCAATATTATAATAAAATCTAATTAATTGCCTAGGTATGTATTAAATGTAATTACTATATCTACTTAATATCTAAAAATATAGTACATTGTACTAAAATTTATATTATTTTAAATTTAGTTTAATATTTTCTTACATATATAAAATCAATTTTGATTTTAGATCAATGTAGGCAATTAAAAAGATAACTTTTAAAATAGGTATCACAATTATTAAGTAAAAATGTATAGTAACAACACACATAGGTATTATTACATGTATTATGTTATTTCAATTAAGTGCCTTAGTGCCTATTAAAAATTACGTGTTGAATACAAAATTAGGTTCATTATATTGTGTTTATAACGTAAATGTTTAAACAATTAAGAAAATAATTTATTAAGATTTGTCTTTATGTAGAATTTTTGTTCGTAAAATATCTAGGTAGACATTTTTTTAAATTGTTTACATTTTTAGTTTTTCTATAAGTAATATACCTAATACTTCATACAATATTTGTTTGTGGAGTAATTCATTTTATTATAATTCATTATTTTAGGCAACTTATCGTCAACATCTTCTCAGGATCAATCACCATTTCAGGACACTCGAAATACAAATCCTGTTGCTGGTCCATTAATAAATAATCACTTATATCAAACAGAACCTTCTAATCACCTGCCACATCCATCAGGTCCACCTAGGACTAATGCTAAAGGGATTTATGAAAACTCTCTTCAGTCTTCAAATTCAGTAAGTAAATAGAATTTATTATAATTAATAGTTATTAGTCAAATTCCTTCAGTGTTGTCCATGACAACTAAATTTATTCCATAAAATATAGTTTAAATCCCTGTTTAAATTATACCTAACTTACCATCAACATAAATAATATTTTTTAAAAAATATGCTTTAATTCTATCTGGTAAATGAATTGGTATAAGTATATATATTATACAATAATTAGTTAATAATGATTAATATATACATTTTAAAATGAATATTACCTAATTTAAAAACAAAATGTACAGATACTAATAATTTAAATACAATTTCAGTGCTTATAGAAACCTATAGATCATATTTCTGGCTAGTTTTCTTTATATTTTAAAACTGCACATTTTTTATACTTGTAATAAGTAAGTATATTAAAGATATTATATAACTATTGAATATTTATACATAAATTGTTTGTTATTATTTTAATCTTACAACATTCTTATTCTTTGATACCACACCAAAAAGTAATTATAACAATATCTTATTTTTTAATTAATGATAAGATAATTTCATCTATATTCTTAAGTACCATTTTATATCTATAGTATGCCAAAATATTTTAATATTTATTTTGAACGTGATAAATATTTAAATTAATATTTATAAGGCATTATAAAGTTGAACTCCCCTACTTATTACACTTTTAATATTATGATTTAGTTCTTACGACTTATTATTATTTATTTTTCAGAATGTCAGTTTTGCTCAATCAAATGCTGAAAATTATCCAATTAATCCAGACTTTCAACTACAACCTCATCTTACTGGTTTGTTACAACAACAATCTAAACGAGTTCCAGAACTTTATCCAGTAGATTCAAATATAACATCTATAGCAGAAAATATGAACACAAATCATTTTTCTTTAAATAAATCTTATCCAGAACCTAAAATTATTGAGTATGATTTAGAAGAGACATCTACTGATAGTTCACCGCAACATACTTCATCATTATATTCCGAAAGTACCGATCAGGATTCTGAAAGTATACATCCGAATAATGTGTATTTGAAACATACATTAAATAAACCTACTGAATGCCACATAACAAAGGAATCAAAAACAATATTGTCTTCAAATCAAGATTATCCAGTACCAAGCCAATTTGCAGATTTAAGCCTTAACAGGAATGATAGTATTGACAATCATCATTCTATTTTGCATAATACTTATAGTCAAGTTGTTGATGCTGATATTGTTGAAGACATTCCTTTATCTGATAATATTATCCAACATGAAATAGAATCCAATATAGAAAATCCAGAATTACAAACTAATGAACAAAAATTTGATTATTATGCTAATAAAAATGAATCTAGCACTAATAAATTTAATTATCAGAATGAACATGGTCCAAATCCATATTTAAAAAGTAAAACTAATCCTGTCTCTTTTAATATGGACAGCTCTTCAGACAAAACAAATCTTTCTCAGTTTAACGAAGGGCTCTATTTTAGTCAACCAAATTCTTTGGATCAGTCTAGTTCGTTAAACAGTCCCAGTTCACAAACACAGAGTAAACCACTATTTCCATACAACAATACTGAAATTTTAAGTCATAAACAAGAATCCTCAATTATCAATAATCTTAGTGATTGTACACAGTCAGGGGACAAAATTCAACAAAATAAACTGATTTTTCAAAATTTAAATGCTCCTACTGATATTAAATTGCAATCCAATATTATCAATAGTAATAATCAATCAACACCCGAAACTCAAATTTTAAATAATCAGAATAATTTTCAATCTATAAGTTCTAGTACTTCTAATTTATGTAAACAGCAAAACTTACCATATACCAATTCAATTAATCAACAATTAACGTATAGCTCTTCAAAATCATCTGCCTCTGAATTTTTAAATGATATTTCATCTATAACTAACCAACAGTTCACAATATATAATTCATCATTAACATCATCTGTATCATCTACTCAATCTGTTGGACCTATTACTTCAGCAACCATATCGACTTTAAATGATTCATCTACAGTCAAAATAAAAGAAAATTACAATGAATCACAACATCAGACATCTGATGATCAAGCTAGTCAATTATTAAATAATTTATCCAAATCTGATAAAAATAGTCTAGTTAATTCAATTAAACAGGACTTGATTAATACTTTAAACTCTAAGTTTGATATTAAACCTTTACAAACGCCTAATGATAACTTGATTAAAAATCAACAAGAAACAATTGCTAATCATTCTAGCTCTATATATAATCAATCTAATGAAAGTCAAACAGATTATGTTAAATCACTTCCTCCGATAACTATCACTACTTTTACTCAACCTAATAATTTATTTAATTCAAAAAGTACTACTTCTCAAATAGAAACAACTTATTATCAATCATCACAAAATCAATTGACATCACAGCAGTCTGAAAATGGTAGTATACAAACGCCAAGTGATATGTTTTCCAATAATTCAGCACATGTATCCAATTTAATAAATCATCAAAACCTAATGACTGCATCAACTGTAGGTCAAAATGTGGGTAATTATTTTTATTCTACCAATACAAGTAATCAATCTGTATTCAATCATCAATCATCTAATTTACTATTTCATAGTCAACAAAATTCAAATACTCAAGACGTAGTAAAGCCTATTACTTCAAGTTTTCCACATTCAGAAGAATCTAAACATTGTACAATGTTATCTCACATACAAAGTTCTCCACTAAATTCTTTATCTGTAAATCAAAAATCACCATTAATGAAAAAAGAATCAGATTTAGTTGAGTGTGTGGAGTTAGATTCCTCTAACTCAAAGGATATATTAAAATTAAACTCTATAGATTCTGTAAAATCTGCTGCAACATTTCAATCCAACAAATTAAATGTTGATTTATTAGAAAATACTGAAATTAAAACTTTCAATTCTCTAGCATCAAATATATTGCCACCTAATGATCAGTTTTCTAGTATGACAATTGATAATCAGCAAAATTTACCTGTTAGTCAAACGTTTGTCCAGGAACCAACATCATCTGCTTCATATTTTTCAAAGGGAACGTTGATTGATAAAAAAGACCTTTCTTTACAAAATTTGTCTTCTACTGTACACGATACAAATTATTCAACACCTGATTTATCAGAAGACAATAATACCCCTCAATCTGTAATGAATAAACAAACAGATTTGTTGTCTTTAAATCCAGATCAACCAACAGCTCATTCGTTTTCTTCACTGCCAATAAATAATGAGTCTGCACTCAAGGAGCAGTTAGAATCTAATAAATTTCTGTCACAACAATCAAGTAATAACAAAATAACATCAAATTCTGTTCCTCCACTGATGTCCAGTAATCAATCAAAATTAGAGATTTTATCATCATCTTTACCTGTAACAAATCAGTATGCAACATCGTTGTCCAGAATTCAATCATTACCTATTGTAGTTCCACACAATTCATTATATGTTAATCAGTTATCGCCACAAATATTCAGTACTCAATCAAACATAGATAATGTAAAATCTAGTGATTCAACATCAAATCTGAATACAAAACAATTGTTTAATAATCCACCTGTACCAATGCACGGTCCATCTACTTCATTTGGTGCTAAACAATTCCCACATCAAATGTTTGATAATCAACCAAAATCAGATACTGTGGCAAATCAGTATTCATCTGAGACATCCAATAATCAATTGACATCTACTAATATAAGGCCACCTATTTCAAAAGAAAGTGTTTATCAGTTTGCTTCACAAATGTTAAATAGTCCGGTCAAATTAGAAATCATGCCTCCGCTTCAATCAACGAGTGGGTATCCATTAGTACAATCATTTAATAATCAATCAATCCAAAACACTATTTCAGCAGTTTCATCTGCAACCAACCAATTACAGTCACAGATGTTTGCTGATCAACCTAAATTAGGTACATCACCTCTAAAATCAACCGAAAAACAATGTCAAACAAAGTCGTCTAGTAATCAAACAATGCTTAACACTGTTCCACCAGTATCTTCTACATCTAGTTTTTTACCTAAACAGATGTTTAATAATGCATCTAAATCTTATTTATCTTCTCAAACTCCGTCCAATCAGTATCCACCACAAACGTTCAATAGCCAGCCAAGACCAAATAATATTATGGTGCCCCCAATTTTTCCAGTGTCAAATCAACTACCTCAACCAAATTATTCAAATAATCAACCAAAACCAGATGACATTTCTACTACTCAATCAACTAGTCAGATTTTACCTCAACCGTTCAGTCATTCAACACCATATCAGGTTCCACCTCAGGTGTACACAGGTGTTCAACATAAATCAAGTTTCTCTTTTCAATCACTACCAAGCCAACCTTTATCGCAGCCACTTAATAACATTCCAAAATCAAATATAGTTCCACTTGTAACTTCAACACAAAATCAATTTTCCCCACATATGGTTGGTAATCAATCAGGATTAGATTCTGACCAAATAAATAAACCAACGGTTAGTCAATATTCACCACAATCGTTGAGCAGTCAATCTTTGACTGCTATACCGTCTATTCAACAAGGAACCCCCAATCAATTTCCATCACAGCTGTTTAGTAATCAGTCCAAACCTAACATTTCTCAGTTTTCTCAATCGACCACAAATCAGTATCCTTCACAACCATTCATCAACCAACCTGGCCAACAAATTTTATCAACGTCAAATAATCAACAACCACCTACTAGTAATCAGTTTTATAATCCAACAAATTCAACTCAATTAACTTATAATCAATGGACACCTCATCCCTCGACTATGAATCAATTGAGTAAACTGTCAACTGCACCATTTTCAAATGTACATTTTTCAAACCAGGCTAATCATAGTATGTTACCACAACCAATAGCTACAAATTTGCATTCTAATACTAGTATTAATCAACAAACTCAAAAAAAAATGTTGCCACCAAATCTGTTGTCTGCGAATAATTTTTATAAACAAGGTAATGAAAATATCAAACAGTCTCTTCCACCAACTATGTTACCGAATCAAAATATGCAAATGGGATCCAAAGAATATCCACAAAAAAACAATATCGACTATTCTAGTCAAATAAATTATCAGCTATCAAATTCAATTCAGGCACAACAAGGATTTCAGCAACAAGACCCGTATAGACCAGAACAAAATGCTTCAGTGGTTCAACAAGGATTTGCCAAAACATGGGTAAACACAATAATATAATATATTATCATTATTTTAAAGACAATATATTAAAATGTATTAATTTTAAAATGATATAAATGATAAAATTATATCAATATCTCAAGGAATTTTAACATTATAAACCTATTATTTAAACATTATTCAGATTTAAAAAAAAAAAATGATATTGATACAACGATTCTTTAAAAAATATTAAAATAATAAAAACTGAATAATAACAAAAAATAAAAAAAACAATTATTAAAGAATCAATTTTTCTTCATTATCTTAAATATTAATGAGAATTTCAAAAAATGACTTTTCTAAAATATCAAATAGTGCCTAAATACAACAATTTTATGTCTCTTGTCATATTTTGATTAGAGCAAGATTTCTAGAAGAAAAGTTGTTTACAAAAAAAAAAATTACAAATCAAAATAAAACCAAAATAGATTCCTTGTTTCACTTAAAATCTAAAATATATTGTTTGAGAACCCTATAAATATTACTGTCGAAAAGTAATATTAATCAAAATAATTTTATTTATATTTAGGGACACGATAATGTTGATTTATTAAAATCAAGAGATGTTCTACCAAGTGATGGAGTTCAACCAGCAGAGATAAAACTTCCTCAAGGATATGCTAATTGTGACAATTGTTCTCCAGAGTATGTTAAATCAAAGATCATAAAATATTAAACATTATTTATATTTTATTTATTTGTCTAGTATATTCCGCTGTACATTAAACAAGTTTCCATCTTCCAAGAATTTACTAGATAAATCTAGATTGCCATTAGGAATATTAATTCATCCTTATAAAGACCTTCCAGTAAGTAATTGTACCATGTGATCCATTCAGTTTTAAATTATTTTTTTATCTGTTAAATACTTGTAATTAATATTTATTTTAGTGCTTAACTGTCATACAATGTGATACTATCACAAGATGCCGCAATTGTCGTTCATATATAAATCCATTTGTTCAATTTATTGATAATGCTCACTGGAAATGCAACTTATGCTATAGAGTCAATGATTGTAAGTGTAGTGTTGGACAATTGATATAATAGATTGTGTTTAATGCCATATTTTCTATTGAACTACAGTACCTAGTGAGTTTCAAATCGATCCATATACAAAAACACTTGGTGATCCGTCAAGGAGACCAGAAATACAAAATGCTACCATTGAGTACATTGCTTCACAAGATTATATGGTGAGTTTGTTTTCATGCAAAAATATTATTCAATAAAACTTAGTTTTTAACATAATAACTAAGTTATTAGTTAAATGTGTTTATTTGTATTTACATATTATACACTATTTATTTTAGGTTAGACCTCCACAACCAGCTTTATATTTGTTCCTTTTGGATGTATCACGCAATGCCACTTTGACTGGATACTTAGAAATTGTTTGTGAACGAATTTTGAATAAAATTATGACCAATGATATACCTGGAGATTCACGAACTAATATAGGTTTTGTCACATTTGACTCGTGTGTTCATTTTTATCAAATCGCTAATGGTGATGGAGGACGACCTAAACAGCTCATTGTTAGTGACATATCTGGTATGCATTATTTAAAAAATAAATAAATAATATTAATTGTATAAGTTTTTTAATATTATGTTTTTTTAGATATATTTCTACCCTTGCCTGATGGTCTTATAGTAAATTTGGAAGAAAACAAGTCGTCTATAAAAGATTTGTTGACCAGTTTGCCAAATCTTTATAGGGAGTCTTACGATAATGGTTGTGCTTTGGGAGCTGCTCTTCAGGCAGCATTTAAAATATTAGCTCCCCGAGGAGGTCGTGTTACAGTGTTTCAAGCTTGTTTACCAAATTGTGGGCCTGGTAGTTTACAAGCTAGAGATGACGGGACGGCCCAAACTGGAGATCGTGTGCAGCATATGACTCCGTCGACAGATTTTTATAAAAAACTAGCTTTAGAATGTAGTGCTGAACAGATTGCTGTTGATATATTTTTTGTGTCTTCACAATATTTAGATATAGCTACTATTTGTAAGTAAAAACAATAATACACTAATAAACTATCTATTTTAAAAATTGTATTTTGTTAAATAATTTTAATTTTTAGCTGGAATTTCAAAATATTCGGCTGGATGTGTGCACAATTTCTCTCAGTTTGATGTCAAGTCTCCAACTATAGTAACACGCTTTATTAACTGTTTTGATCGATATCTCACTCGTAAGATTGGTTTTGAAGCCCTCTTGAGACTGCGTTGTACACGTGGTGTTGCCATACACTCTTTCCATGGAAATTTTTTTGTTCGGTCGTCAGATTTGCTTATGATGCCAAATGTTAATCCTGATAATGCTTATGGTATGCAATTATCTATTGAAGACAATTTGGATGGAGTTTCTATTGTTTGTTTCCAGGCAGCGTTACTCTATACTTCCAGCAATGGTAATATTTACTAAAAATGTATATTATTAAATCATTTTATAACAAAACATCATTTATGCTACAGCGGAACGTCGCATTCGAGTGCACACACTTTGCATACCAGTTACTGACAATTTAAGTGATGTTTTTCATAATGCCGATCAACAAGCAATAACATGTCTAATAGCTAAAATGGGTAGATTAATAAAATAAAGTTATTGTTTTGTTAAATTAACCAAATACAAATTTCTATTATATATTGTTTAGCCGTTGATCGAAGTACTGAAAAATCTTTATCTGATGCACGTGAAGCATTTTTTAACGCTATCTCTGACTCTCTTTCTGCATTTAAACTTGGTTGCTCATCTTATGGAGGTCTTGGAACAATGCTATCACCTTTATCACTGAGGGTATTCCCATTATATATTCTAGCTATGTTGAAACACGTAAGTATTTATAAANAGAACTAATCAACCTACTCGACTTGATGATCGAATGTTTAGCATGTGTCAAATGAAAAGTTTGCCACTAAGTTGTCTTATTCAATATATATATCCAGATCTATATCCTATACATGCTTTGGATGAACAGGTAACAAACAGTTTAATTCTTAATAATTGATTTAACTTAAGATAATTATATTTTGTTTTGTCATGTTTTTCTAGCCAAAAATCGATTATGAGAAATTGACAGGAATTCCTCTTCCACCTGTGCTACAACTCTCTGCTGAACGAATTGAATCTAATGGCATCTATTTAATGGATGACAATGAAACATTGACAATATTTATTGGACATAGATGTTCAGATCTACTTATTCAAAAATTATTTGGTTATGTAAATCTTAATTCAATGCCAGAACTAATTGTGAGTAAAATAATAACATCATCTAATTTAGTTATTTGATAATGTATACAATGGAAGTGGTTGGAAATACTATAGTTTTAAATTGTTGGTAATTTTTATTCTGGCCTAAGTTCAACTCCATGTCCATAGTACCCTCACCTCAACATTTAGAACATTTTTTTGTGCCATTAGTTTTTGATCCACATGGTATTATAATTTTTCTTTATAATTATTATCATATTGGCGACATTTGTGTAATATTCATAATCGTGCTCACAAATGTGTTAATTTTGTGTTGCTTATGTAAATACGCTCCCCTTATACCCCAGCAGAAAAATTTGACTATCTCTGGAATGTGTTGAGCACAAATAACGGGACCAAATGTACAAAAGAATGATACAATCAAATTTTCAAAATATTGGTGTGGGGGTGTGGGACATGGAACTTGTTTCTTCTATTTTTTTTTTTTACACTTTTTCAATTTTATTTAAAATTAAGTTTTTCATATAAATTGTAATAGATTTGTGGTCCACATTCCTTCTATTATTATTGATCATTGCGGTTATTTTTCATATAGATTTATTATTATATTATTTATTATGCTCATGAATAAATAATAAATTATATTTACAATATATTTTTTTTTTTTTGTAAATTTTAGACTACTCTAACAGAAATAGACTCCACACCATCATATCTGCTTCGCAATTTCATTTCCTATGTGCAACATTTTAAACCATATCCACTACCTATAGAAGTAATAAAGTGAGTATTTTATTTTATTTATTTTTTTTTTTCAATATTAATGTAAATCATAAATATTTTGTATTAATATTTTAGGGACAATGGACCACATAAGTTACGTTTCTATAGTAGACTAATTGAAGATAAATTTGAATCATCTTTATCATATTATGAATTTTTACAGCGGCTCAGTCAGCAAGTTAGATAATGATGGTTTTTTTTTATTGGGACTCATTGGAGCTGTCTATGAAATTATTGTTTTATTGAATTATAAATATTTAAAGAAAATGATATTGAGATGAGTTTATATTTTGTACCATCAACCAACCAATTATTTGTTATTTTTTGAGTTTTAAGAATAGGTATAAAAAAAATTTAATTTATAAATAGTTTTTTTTTTTTTTTATTGATTAAGGAAAATTAATTTAAAATTTGTTGTACAATAATCTACACACTAGATATATTATTAATTAATTATTGTTTTTATTGGTTATTGGCCAGCTATGTGTCTGGTATTATCTATTTGTGAAATTGTTTTATTAAAATAATGTTTATTCTATTTTTATATGTATATTTTTTGTAATGCTATCTGAGCTTATTCTTCTATTAATGTACATACAAGTTCAACATTTTCCTATATTATGTAATAATGTATATAACAATATGTTGTACACATTAAATCAATCTTTTCAGAAAAATTCCCGCCCAAATTGTTTTATTTTATTGGTTATTTTGGAGACTTATCATTCTAAAAAATAAGTAATATAAAAATTGTAATGCCCCACAGACTTCTGAATATTTTTCCGAGCTATGATATTTAGTTCTTATCTTGGCAGTATCCAGTGCAGTCGTTATAGTGAATTGTGTGTGTACTTTATCTAACATGCCATTTGGTATGTGCTGATCTAATGTTTTGCCAACAAAAAAAATAACTTGCTTTGTTTGTAGAAAGTAATTCCATCAACATTGTATAAAAAATTCTATGAAAAAAAGCATTGATGTGGTTAATTAGACTTGTGATGTTTGTGTGCTAAAATTAATTATCAAAAAAGTGTGACTTCTAGAAAATTTAATCTTAATAGTTGATAATAATACTGTTAAACTTAAAATAGAAGATAATAATCTAAAAACCATTAGAGATGATATGATTATGTTTAAAATTGGCAAGTCAGTAAATTTCTGTTCTGGAATATTGGATGATTTTAGCAAAAAAATAAAGCATCTTCTAAAGAAAGTTAATGTTATTGATATAAAGTACACAAATCTTGAAAAAGATTTTAATTTATTTAAAATAAATCTGACAACAATTATTAGTTAATTGTGAATCAATAATTAGCATTCCATTTACCAACAATAAAAATATTGAAGAAATTGTCAAGGTTACTACTTAGTGCTTTAGACGTTGTTTTTCGTAAAGAAGATATTTAGTCTTATACTAAAGCTAACAAGAACTAGGTCAGTAAAATAATAGTTTGGTTTAATAGAATCACAACCAAAGATTTATTTTTTAATAAAGCCTAGAAACTTCGATTAAAGAAACTACAATTAAAATCAAACGTAATACGTCTTTCCCTGGAAATACTAAATATGTAAATCATGAACTTAGAACTACATTCCGAAAAATATTTTAGATGACAAAACAGCAAATGAAGGACGAATAGCTATCAAGATACAATCAATTAGTGATTTATGTAAACTAAATAAAGAAAATAAAAAAAGTCACCTACTTGAATCTGGTTTAGATACGTCATCTAGGAAATAGTTAGTGATACATTAAATAGATTACTATATCTAAGAGTTGAAAAAAAAAAAAATTGATAATTTGATTTTAAATGAAATTATTTGTTTCATTAGTATAAAAACTTGTTACTTTAAAAACTTATCTTTTTGAAGACAATTTGGATGGAGTTTCTATTGTTTGTTTCCAGGCAGCGTTACTCTATACTTCCAGCAATGGTAATATTTACTAAAAATGTATATTATTAAATCATTTTATAACAAAACATCATTTATGCTACAGCGGAACGTCGCATTCGAGTGCACACACTTTGCATACCAGTTACTGACAATTTAAGTGATGTTTTTCATAATGCCGATCAACAAGCAATAACATGTCTAATAGCTAAAATGGGTAGATTAATAAAATAAAGTTATTGTTTTGTTAAATTAACCAAATACAAATTTCTATTATATATTGTTTAGCCGTTGATCGAAGTACTGAAAAATCTTTATCTGATGCACGTGAAGCATTTTTTAACGCTATCTCTGACTCTCTTTCTGCATTTAAACTTGGTTGCTCATCTTATGGAGGTCTTGGAACAATGCTATCACCTTTATCACTGAGGGTATTCCCATTATATATTCTAGCTATGTTGAAACACGTAAGTATTTATAAATAGTTGTTTTAATTATGTATTAAATTATTTATGTATTACATAGTTTACATATAATTGTTTAATTACTTATAGTCAGCATTCAGAACTAATCAACCTACTCGACTTGATGATCGAATGTTTAGCATGTGTCAAATGAAAAGTTTGCCACTAAGTTGTCTTATTCAATATATATATCCAGATCTATATCCTATACATGCTTTGGATGAACAGGTAACAAACAGTTTAATTCTTAATAATTGATTTAACTTAAGATAATTATATTTTGTTTTGTCATGTTTTTCTAGCCAAAAATCGATTATGAGAAATTGACAGGAATTCCTCTTCCACCTGTGCTACAACTCTCTGCTGAACGAATTGAATCTAATGGCATCTATTTAATGGATGACAATGAAACATTGACAATATTTATTGGACATAGATGTTCAGATCTACTTATTCAAAAATTATTTGGTTATGTAAATCTTAATTCAATGCCAGAACTAATTGTGAGTAAAATAATAACATCATCTAATTTAGTTATTTGATAATGTATACAATGGAAGTGGTTGGAAATACTATAGTTTTAAATTGTTGGTAATTTTTATTCTGGCCTAAGTTCAACTCCATGTCCATAGTACCCTCACCTCAACATTTAGAACATTTTTTTGTGCCATTAGTTTTTGATCCACATGGTATTATAATTATTATCATAATGGCGACATTCGAATCGAATTTCGGAAATTTTTCTACGTTTAGGTAAGTCTAATATACGTATTATTACCAATTTTCAAGTTTACATGTATTTATAACCGAATTACAGCAAAATAAAACTTCTTAAAATTAAAATTTCTAAAAGCTTAAAAGTTTTAGTTATGATATTGTAAGAAAGTAACAAAAAAAAAGATGTCTTGTGATTTTTCGATTAAATCATTTTTTCTGGTAAAAATCATCGTTCGTGTTTTTATAAAATAATTAGATCGTGAAATTGTACGTTTTCCACTTAAGTCCTTTTATTTTAAAAATGACGTAGAAAATTAAATAATAACCTCTTTAAAGTACTGTATAAACAACTTGAGCTTTTAGAAAAAATGCTACACGTAAAAATCAGAGCAAGTTTACTAGGAGAAAATCTGTCCACAGACCAGAACAATGAAGAAAAAATAAACAGCAATGTAAAACCAATAGCTCCCTTGTTATACTCGGAATCTAAAACTTAAAAGTTCGTATGATAGGTAAGTCTTGATTATACTATTGGATTTGACAATTAAAAATATACATTTTTGAGAATAATAAATTCTAATTTCAAGAAATACATGAAACGGAAAACCCGAATTTCATTAAGTTTTCCCCGATAACTTTTTAACTGTGATATACTTGATGATGGTTTTTTATTTTGAAACCGGTCGTAAGAAAAAAGGGAAATGTATGAAAATAATGCTTTTATTATTTGTTGTTATTCAGTTGAAAATATTCGTAGAGACTTGAAATTTGGACAGAAAACTTAAATTTGACTTTACTAAACGCGATAAAATTTTCGAAAAATTTAAGCCATTTTTGAACTATTTATAGACATTTTAGTTTTGTACATATTTTTTTATTCGGTAGGTACTCTGTGGTAAAATTGTTAGACTTAACAGAAATGCTTGAAAATTTAACAGGAGGTTCAATAAATCTTACTTTGTGGTAAAAAGAAAAATTGAGTTTTATGTAGTATTTGTTTTTATAAAGGAATTTTGATACTACATTTTGACGAAGTATTTTTAGTAGATATTTTTGAGTAAAAAATTATGTGGAACAAATCTAATTTTTTCAATTTTTTTTCCGAACATATGTGTATTGCCGATTTAAAAAATATGGTTAAGTCAGAATTGAGCGGAATAACTAAGTTCCGAAATCATAGCTTTTTGAAGTTCAGATATTATGCAGATATTACATGTTGATGTTAAATAACTCTATATTGACTTTTCTACTATATGTTTATTGTAGTCGAATGGTCATGAATACGTATTATCATACTAAGCGTTTGAAAAAAAATTGTTTGCACTTATTTTTTTCTTTTATCTAAATAGAGAAAAAACAAATGCATTTAAAGTGTACTTAGAGACAAAGCTATTGCTCGCTCAGACAATTATAATCGAAAAATACCCCTCAATTTGTTTTGCAAACTTTTCTACCAGAAATCTTGCTCTCATGTATCAAATGTAGCTTATTTTCTGAAAGGAAATTTTATCTCCATGGTTTAGGGACGTCATTTTTGTGAGTTTTAAATTGGTTATCATAATAACTAAGAAAAACCTGGATAAAATGTCGGAAAAAGGAAAATTTACGAAATGTAGGTATTAGTAAAACAATATTATGGCTTTTTTTTTACTCTGTACAACTTTTCTACCAGCAATTTTGCTCCGATTTACAATGATAGCACTTTTTCTGAAAGTAAATCTCACTGGGAAGGTACTTTTGGGAAGTGATTTTTCGATTTTTCTAAGAATTTTCTAAGCAAATATGATAATCTGGGAAAAAACACGGAAAAACCTGGAAAAACGCAAGAAAAACTAAAAAATCAATAGAATATTAAACAATTATTATTAAAGAAAATATATAATGCCTATTTAATTATTTTACCATAATATGACATATATATTGTTGACAAAGCATCACTATCAACTGAACTGCGCTCATAATCGTTTATTTGTTAACAATGGTTTATCGTTGCATACAGATACACATTGAATTACCTATAACAGTGGCTACAACCGTCTCCATTATCCTAGGACGTCTTTTTTTTTATATATTCATTTACGAGGATTAACCATTTTAATAATTTTTTTTTTACTTTATTATTTTATATTTTATACCATCAACCAACCAATTATTTGTTATTTTTTGAGTTTTATTAATAGGTATACAAAATATAATACATAATATAGTACATTTAGCACTAGTCGGGGGATTGATTTAAGGACCAAAATAGGAAATTCTCAGGAAGATTAAAATGCTTTCAAATGAGGAGCTCCGGGCACGCTTTAAATGAAATAAAGCAGTCTGTTCCCAGGAATTTCAAAATGATCTTGATGGGAGACTCCTTAAAACCTAAACAGTTGGTTTCCTTTATTGTATGTGTAGTTAGTGTACCTATACTATACCTTTTTTTTTAATGATAGACTGAAATGTACTCAAACTTATTGACATATATTTCCCATTTTTTCTTTGTTCGTACTTTTCTAATTCACTCAAATTGATGACATTTCTGATTGTTGGTTCTTCAAAAATCGGCTTGTTCGAATCTAGATTGACCCGGCAACATACTTTTTCTTCAGACGGTTCGTCGTTATTGATCAATTGTTCACCATACCGCTTAATCAAACGAAACGTTAACTTTCTTTATTTTAATGATTGCATTTGTTGACTTATATCAAAAGATAGGAAGTATTCAAGGGATGTGTCGGCGAAACTGATACGACAGTAATGTTTGCAGTAATGTCTGCAAACCTATATATATACTAATACCTACACATACTAAAAAATGTATTTATGACAATGAAAAGCTATTTACTTATAAATTTAAAATTAAAAAGTTGTGTATATTATAATATGTATCCTAGCCTAATATGTATGTCTAGCCTAATTTTTATTGAAAATTAATACTAATATAATTATATAAATATATTGGAATGTTATTTAATAAGGTTATGAGAAAATTAAATAGATACCAATAAATCGGCAGACACATCACCGGAATTTCTTCCATAAGTAAGAGCAACTTGTGATGTAACTGTATATTCTTGTGTGGGTGACATAACAGCTGGTATAGAATTGAGTGGTGGATTGGATGCTCTCCTTATAGAAGATTTCTGAAATGATAAATAAAATAAAACCAATAAATAATATAATATTCTTACGGTTAAAAAATAAATAAAAGAGGTTTCTAAATATTATTAAACACTTTTTTCTATATAATACTAAAACAAAACTTGTAATGAATTAATAATTAATGATAATATTAAGGAACTTCAATTAAAATATAATATTAGGTGGTTTTAGTAGCTCGGAAAAAATAGTTTTTAGACTTTCCGGTCTGACAAAATTGTGAGACTTTGGATCGTCCAATATTAATTCTGTAAAAATAATATTTCTTAATATCTCCTTTAGAGAACGAAAGGAGCACTTTTTTATGATTCGAAATTTCGACAATACTATAATGTTATACAAATTTCAGTTTTTACAACATTTTTGTTCATGTCATATCTATTGAATTAATTCATTTTTTTAAAAAATGTCTCGACCGTTCTCTAGAGGAGATGATAAGAAATGTTAGGATTTTTACAGAATTAAAATCGCACGAGCCCAAGTATCACAATTTTGTCACAACCGAGGCATGTTTCTATTCGAAAAATAACAGAATATTATTAATTAAATTTGTGCCATGCGCCTACGAGTGCGAAAACGCGATTATGCGATCATTAGGCGGCGTCACCGCTAATAAGACCTAGACCATATAATAATAAATTGTACAAAAATATCCCCGAATCCCTAATTATAATGTTTTATCTATAATACAATTTTTCTATAATCAAACTGCATATTGTACGCAGGAGCGTTCCGAACGTGGGGGGTAGGGGGTGTCTGCCCCCAAGATGTTTTTATTAGTCGGCAAATCGTACATTTGATAAAAAACTTGAAATAGTCGACAAAATGTCAAGGTTATCTCATTTCAGTCGTCACTGATGTTGAAGTTGTAGGTAGTGTTTATTAGTATTATTATTCTAAACTATTTAGACCGAATACGTATAAAAGTAGAGCTCATAAATAATAATATACATAAACATGATTAGTTATTCTTATTGTGAGTTGTTAACACTATATGTGTAGTGACTGCAAATCAAACATATTGTATACTACTGTACGATTTAGGGTAATCAATCAAAAAGTCCGTTTTAAAAAAAGTTGGACAGAAAGTCCGAAAATACAAAATTGTCTATTAAATGTTAATATAATTATATAATTTATTATATGGGTGTATTATACTATAGTCCAAAAATAGTAAAACATCATTTAAAAAAATAACACTAACATTGAGATAATAATATTGGTTAACGCTTGTAGGTATAATCTTTTGATAGATTTACTGTAGACATACAGCCGTGGTAAACATCAGATATACAATATATATACATAATATAGGCACCTACCTAACTATAGTGGATTTCCGTTATGTTATGTTATGTATATTTTTACTATTTATACTACTATTTTGAAATTAATATGAATATAACCAAAATATTACATATTATGCATTTAAAAACCATTTGTATGCGATGAAAAATCGTGCATTAAATGTTAAAAAATTGTAAAATATACCCAAAATAAAATTTTGTATTTCAGTTCTATTGACCTTAATTCAAACTTGTTGCTTATCCAGCCACTTTTTGGATTGTCTAAAATAAAACATGTAAATGTATATAATTCCGGGCCCTGATCATTGTATACATTACATACCTGTATGCAATAAAGACGTGCGTTCAGTTGCGAGCGAATACAATGAATTACGCTTGTTTAGTTTCGATGTGTTTAATTGCGCCAATGAGTGACGAGACTTGATTCATTATTGGTACTAATTTCAGCTCGAGATATTGTAGATAAAATAAATGTTCAGGAATTTGTTAACGATTGGTCTCTCCTCAAACATCGGCGTGTAAAAATTTAAGTTACAGACTAGTATCTAATTACAAATTGTAAGTATAATGTTATACATATTATAAATCATATTTTAGTTTACATATAAATAATAATGATGATAACAATACAATTTTAATAAAATATTTGAATACGTACATTTGTTTTGTATTAGCATTTTACTCTTACGTATAAACACATACATACAACTATTGTTTTTTCTCTTTATTTTCATGTAGTTACCAATTTTTCAAACTGATACCCCCCCCCCCTCTAATAGGAAAAACTCGGAACGCCCTTTATTGTACGTCTAGTCCATCACAGATCATAATTATTTAATATTTGATGTGATTAAGACAAATCAGTCATCATGAGGTTTACATACATTTTTTTTGCCTTTTTACAATATTTTAAAATGAATGGTTGATCCATTCTATGATAGAAATAATATATTTCGTATATTTTTTTTACCACAAAGTATGGTTTATGATAATATCTATTTTTATCTAAAATTGAAAATAATAAAATTCTTTCTCCGTTAATTTATAATTTATGTCCATAATTATGCCCAATTTAGTAAAATATTAAATACCTATTTATTCTAAGAAACCGTCTTCTAACGCACTTAAGTTCTGACTATTGACGTCGGTACAGTCACGAAAGAACGATAATACGCGTAACGTGTCTAATATTAATACATTTATTTTGTTAGGTGAGTAAATACATTTTTTCCAGAACTAATAAATAAAATTAATTATGTTTTAAATATCATACTTATCATTAATGTATAAATATATCATTAAATTAGGGTTGGGGTGTGGAGGATTAAGCCCTCCACGGCTTATATTGATACTAAAAGTATTTTTCACCTAGTGAACTATGTGGATATTCCTGGTCATTTCCATAGTACTACCTATGTATATATATATATATATATATATATTAATATATTTTACTTTATACTTACCATTATATAATGTCGGGAAAAAAGTAATATTTTCCAAATTGACAAAATAATCAAAACCATATAATATGTAATGGACAACCACCACATGCCGTCCCAGAATATAATCTGAATATTATCATAGTATGTTCGGTCGGCGCATTTAGAGGGCAGTAGGCAGCACAATATGCTGCTGTCATCCAATTGCATTTTGATTATTACCTATACCGTGAATATGTAAAATATTATTAGTATGTCGTGAATAAAAAAAAATGATAAGTGCAATTTTCAACAATAATCAGTATGAATAGTACGATATCATTCATATATTATAAACGCATTATAAAATATAAATATTGGTTTTTCAATTTTTTAGTTTACAGTTTTTTTATCAATTTCGTAGGTAGTAACTAACCCTAATAGTATAATACCAGTGCAATATAATTTCAACAGTTAAAAAGGTATAGGTACATTAGTACAGACGCGTACGTCGGGGGGAGGGGGATAGGGGTATACTCAATCTATTATCTTGAAACCATAATATAATATTATACTAAGTTACAAATAAAAGCTTAAAAATTTGCTCTTTTTTTTATTCTGGCTTTAAGTTCTCATTGTAGGGTTAGGTATCATTATAATACAGTGATTCCCAACTTCTTTTATTCTAAACCCCCTTGGAAATTTTTATAAAATCTTACGTTCTTTTTTTTAGATTAAAAAAATGTATGACAACTTTTTATGGTTTACTTTATAAATAAATTACACAATATTTGTAATGATTATTTTTCTATTAACGGTAATAATTATAAATTAATAATAATAATGCAATTACATAGATGTAATAAACCTATGTAATAATGATAATGTGTGTAATATTTTGTAATTTTGTAAATATAATAATGAAATTACCAATTAATGTTAATGTGAAGGTTGACAATATTTTTATGTTTGACTCGATATTGGAGAGATTGTAGATTACGGTTATTATTTTAGTTTTAGAGATACAAGGTAACTGGTCATTAACTAGTTTTTCGTTTTTTCTCTCATTCATGTAAAATTTATATTTTAAATGTACCATATGGTAAATGCTCGCGCTTTCCCTGCAATATGTTCATGCCTTCCCCTCTCCCGGGGGTCACGTCCCTAGGTCGGGAAACACTGATATGACAGATACTAGGATTTATCTATGAATTATGATTATTATTTACTACATCGCTTCTCATTGAAAATTCCTGGCCACCTGATTCCGACGGCTATCGAATACGCTGAACTGTTTATAATATGTTAATTCTACTGTATTTTGTATATCATACGGTTAATATAAATAAAATAAACCTTAGATTATTAATACATTTTATAATTATATAACATTTATATTATTTTATGATATTATGATAAATGTTTATTTTTTTTAAACTATAATTTTTAGTTATTTCATACCAATATAACAATTTTAATTATTTACGAGTACTGATGCATACAATATACATCAATGTTTGTATCGGTATCGTCGATCTTCAAGTCAGCGTTACCAAAAAAAAAAAAAATTCTGAAATCATCAAAGTAATGAAACGTCGAAAAATTAAAACTATTAAAAACGAAGATTTTCTACCCGATTTTATTTCAGTAAATAAGTTAATTTTATTATATTCTACAATTTCAAATTTAAAATTGCTCTGCCACGAATGACGGAATATTTATAGATAGTACATATGTGCAGCTGTGTGCAGGTGTTTATCGATTATTTTTTTACAAACAGTCGGCGGAATCAACATGACGTAAAAAAATTCCGCGGAGTCTTATAAGTAAAAATGTGGAATTTCGGTGGAATATACGCCCGGCAGGCACGCTACTGCAATATCGATACATAGGTAATATCATTTGAATGAAAACTCGTTTACCTACATTGCATGAAATTTATACGTATTTTCTATAGCTATAATATTATAATGAATCGGGAAGTATAAGAGACGCGATGCTTATGAGAAAGTTTGACAAGAGAATAATATAACTTATTAGGGTACGCAATAATATTCAAACATACGTGTATTATATATGGATAATATTGTAAGCGGTCGTTATACAACGTTTAATGAAATCGCGCGGTTTATCAGGCATAATATTATGTATAATACGATCTGCGACGATGCTGAAATTTTACGACGAAACAGGATGAGTCGAGTGTCTACCAAAAATAAAAACTAACCGGATAAAGACAACATCGGATGACATTCCGCGCGCGCGGTGTCCAATTGCATAATATTAATAATATTATAACGTTTAATATTTCGCAGTTGTGATTCGCCGCTATACACACCCAACAAGTTTGCCCGCCGATTTGTACCAAGCGATGACCTACCGGGCTAAGTAGATTTTAAGACCTAGTAGACGGTAGAATAAAAAAGAACCACCTCAAAAGAACAATCGAACGAAAATATAATATATGCAATCGCGACACTTGCCGGGAGGAATATAATATTATTATGTGTTATGTAGGTAGACACTTTACTTGTATAAAAAAAGCGGTCGCGTCGAATGATCTCTCCGTAAATGCTTTATTGACGATGCGTCTTGAAAACCGACCGATTCATGTACGTTATATTATTATGTCGAGTGCAAACACGCAATACCGACAAGGATTATCTGATAGGTACCTATAGGTATACATTATATAGTTACTATAGTTACGGGTATCCGAAATACTAAGGTTCTACCCAACCAAACGAAATTATCTTTACGGTAGTAACTAATATTATTCAAGAAAATTTTGCGTGGTCCAAAGAAATTATGTCAAATTTTAAGATTTTGATGAGGTTTTATTCGAATAAATGCAAAATAACCTACAAATAACCGAAATTCACCGAAATATTTTGATGAAAACAGATTTTAGTCACTTTCGCTCAAAAAAGTATAATAGATAACTACACCGTGTATTTTTTTAAAATATTTATATTTGTACGTATATTTTTAGTTTTGTAAAAGATTTGTTGCTATAGTTGTTTATATTTGTTTTGAAGTAGTAGATGTAATCACTAATCGATTTGATCCATACAAAATTCGAATACTGCAGTTTTGCTACTATCGTTGGGCCTAAAATAATGCGTCACCTGACACGAATATTGTGTTCCCCAAAAATCAAAGTGTGTCCCTTGAATTACAAATGTGTGTATCAAGTTGCATAACGTGTACATCAGTTTTAATCGTAAAAATAAAGATAACAGACAATCGATTAATGATCTCACTCTAACCAATCTGTGTTATTCGTTTTAAATTGTTTAATACTAATACAATTTTTTTAAATTTTATTTATATTTATTTTGTGTTGATAATTTTTAGCACACACTTTTTATAAATAATATAAATGTGTAAGGTAAGTAGTGTATAAAGAGCTACGCCTCCACCGATTTTATTTTCGCTACGGAAATCTATCAATTCTATAATGAAAATCTGAATCTGATGTATTTTAGGCTTGGCATTGGGTTATGTTTACTCAACTGTATTTTCAATTTAATAATTAAGTTAATGCTCGATAGACAATATTTTGGATAATTATAGACAAAATGTGTTAAATCTAATCGAAGAATTACATAATACTTTGGACATGAAGGAATTGAGTGGTAATCAAAATGAATAAACTCGTGTACTGCCAAATTAGAACGAAGTACCTATAATTGATCACTGCAATTAAACAAGAAAATGTATGTTTGACGGTTTATTTTTTTTTTAATTATATACTTACTTTAATACATGTGTAAAAACTATAAATTAAATTGAAATATCTTTTTACAATGAATTTATTTTCAAATATTCCGCAAACCGTACTTACTGAAAATTGTATCCGTGCATCGATGAGTTTTACGTCCAATATGGAACTTCTAATGAAATTATATTTTTTTAACAATAATGAATTCCTCTAAGTCATTTTTTTTTTTTTCAAACGATTTTATACAGTTGTAATTAAGAGTTAAGATAAAAATATTTAAAACTATTACCGTGTGCCCGTTCCCCGCTCGTTAACTCGATATACCTACTATAAGATTACGAATTATTATTATTGTGATTAAGTAGGTGATTTCAAAAAAAAAAAAAAAAAAAAATGGTTTTCCTATCCATACGAAAACGGTTCTTCAAAGGATATCAGGTACTAATACTTTGGCAACAAATAGACAAATAAATGTGGTATTTTCTAGCCTAATGCAATTTAGTATTGATAGTAATGTATATATATTATTATGCATACGTAATAATATTATACAGGTATTAATAAATTGTCATTTATAGGTGTATATATTTTATGGAGCAATACAAGTTATACTATTTTTAACGAATATTATTTTCGAAGAACAGCCGAGTTTGTTACAAATATTCAACTATATAGGTATAACATATTATACACAAGAGAAGCATATTATGTGCCGTGCGAGGACCAGTTTTCTCCGAACGATCAGATAATCCGGCCGATGAAGTGGGAGTGGTGAACTATTGGATAACAAAATGCGTAGTATTTTATTTTTGAATATCGCCTTGTGTTTTTTTGCCGCCTGTCATTAGTGTATGTTAGTCTCCGAGCCGCTCTGAACATAATACGAACACACGATTTTCCAATCAGTATAAATAATTAACAACACAATATGTTGTAAATGCAAGAAAGAAAACGATTTACAATAATAAACGATTTTGTCGTTATACTAACACACTAAACTGTTGATTTATTGTCGTTTTTCAAATTTTACCTATTAATAACTAAATTACCTATATATTTGTAATAAACTGTAGTCGAATGGTTTTAATGACACAGGTCTCATTAAACATATTAAAAGATCAATTTATCACCATCGTGTCGATATGGTATTATGTATAAACTAAATAGGTAATCACGTAAGAACAGATTATATAATGGTCGAAATGCACTTGAAGCACACAAGCACTTTGTTTCGAGATTTAGAAACTTAACAAATAAAATTGTAAAAGATAAAATAAAAACAAAAAACACTCCACCATAAATAATATAAGTGCAAAAATAATATGATAAATGAATAAGTTAGATTAAAATAAAGGTGCCTATATTATATAACTAGTTTTTATTGGTTTATTTAACTAGATACCTGATACAGTGGCGGATCTAGAGTTGAATTTTGGGATGGGGCTTTCTAAAAAAATTACTTCTAACTCATATATACATTAAAATCTTCTAGTTCATGTGTTCCTAAAAGTATAAAATAAATGGTTAATAAGGGAATGTTATTAATTTTATTATGGTTGGATTAGGAATTGTTTATGTTAATTAGGTACTCTATGATATTTATACTACCTATAATATATTTTAATTATTTCATTCTCAATCCCTATGGTTTTCAAAATAGATATTATGTGATAAATTGCATTAATAATGCGTTACACAATTTAAAATATTTGTGTAAAAAAATTCTGTTGAAGAGGTATGGGGGGGAGGCCTATTAAAATGCTAATAGTTAAAAGAATATATTAAAATCGAAATTTATTTTATTTTAATATATCTCGATCTATATATAACTTTTTCAACAATGTGCGTTTCCATGATAACAATGATTATTTAAAAAAAGATTAAAATAATAAAAACTTAATAATAACAAAAAATAAATGAAAACAGTTGCCAATGACAATCTTATTTTTAATTTTTCAATCTTTCTTAATCTAAAGAACCAGATTTTCCTTATTACCTCGAATATTATTCATATTAAGTTTCAGCGGGAGCAGAGTAGTGCGGTGCATAATTTGTGTGGTGGCACGGCGTTTTAATTGTGTTGTATAACATTTTACAGCAACTATCTTTTAATTATTCTAAAAAGAAAATTCCGAAAAAAATTAATGCTTTCTAAGATAATGAGCGTCTAACCTTATGTTGATCACCCTAATTATTATTTCATATTGAGTATATTATACTCGTTATTGATGTTTCTCAACCTTTTTATTCTAAGCTCCTCTTGTACATTTTTAAAAATCTCATGCCTCTGCTTATTAATTAAAAATATGAGATAAATGGTTTTTAATTTTATATAATATGGTAAATTTATACATTTTAAATTTTTTTCTTACAATAATAGTTAATAGTGACGCTGAAATTAATTACCCCTCATGCAGTACTTAAATTCCTCCCTCTATTGTCCCTCAACTACCCCACTGACTACATATAAATGTATTTGAAAGTAAATTAGAATATTGTAGAGTTAATAAAATTCTATTTTCTCAAAAATGTTGAGAAAATTGCCCAAAAAGAATTACCTAAAATATAAGGAGTTGATTCCTTAAATATGGAAGGCAACACATCCTCTTAACAAATATGAACACTTACTTTAGTGGTCTAAAATGTGCAATGTCCCTAAATATTTTGTAGTTTTAATGAAATAAAAATTAATTTAAAAAAAAAATATAATATTTTCTAGTTTAAAAAGTAATGTAACTACTAATTAATTAATATAACAATTTAAGGTAACGAAAGAGTTCAAAACTTTCAATGTATACATTTTTATTCAAGTTCAAAGTATCACATACGATTTGCGGGGTAAGTTTAATGCTTACACCGCAAAATATAGTCATCGTATAAGGAAGTCTCGCGGTAGTGTACCTATCTATTTACGATTTTCTATAGACGTATAGCAGCTATTGATATTGAATTATAAAATAATAATTATAACCTTGATAAAAAATTTTACTAGTTATATTCATTAAATATGAATAAATTGCATTTTAAAGTCCATATACAGAAAATAATTGTTATGTTAGTTAGTTTAATGACAATAATATTAGTACCTAAATGAAGTCTCGAAGACGAATAGTTTTCTAAATTATATCCCCCCGTAAATATGCCCCTTAGTAAAAGAACAACTACCTAGATGGTTAAATAAGATACCAATACTCGTAGAATAAAAAAGAGTAAATTGTACTTAACTACCTATTGGGAAATTAATAAATTATTATTATAACAAAAAAAAATTCTTTAAAATAATATAACACTGTCATCATCACATAGCTGAGAAGACCTGTTTATAATTATTATTAAAACCCTATATACAAAAATGTTGATATTACGGCAATAATTAGATAAATGTGAAAGTCACGATCATATTCTAGGTTATTGATTTTTTTATAGACAAGGATAATATTATGATCATATTATAGTGCTTTATATTGAAAATGAATCGATTTAAATGTACACAGATAACTCTGCTCTAAAGTTTCCATAGGTTCTATAAGTTTAGCTATAGCGTGCACGCGTCCAAATTAGAAACACTTTTTGGAAAACTTCATTGGATTTTCATCTATAAAAAGACCATTGAAATTAATTAAATTCAAAAATTCTGTATCGGTCATTTGCATATAAATAATGGTATAATAATAGTTATACATTTATACCTAGAGGCGTATAAATAGGGGATGTTTGGGGGTTTGATATATTGACCTTTTTATATTTACATAATGTACACAAATTGTATGATGTAAATTTAAGAAAATTTCCTCTCAAGGAATTTGTTTGCCTCAGGCCCACCCCTTATATTTATACCCAATATAACTTTAAATAATATTACAGCTCTAATGGTCGTATTTAAAATCCAAAAGTGTTATTACCATATGTGTAGAGAGGGTAATTATTTTTTTCTCATTTATTTAATATTTCTAAATATAGCTCTTTTAAAACCTTGTATACAGATAAACATTTTTCTTGTAGGTTTAAGTTTAACTTTTGTTTGCATAATGTCTATTGGTAATATCAATCGTTTTAAACCGTATAAATCATATTATATTTTATTCCAGAATCAAATTTTGTATTTTTTAAGTGGGTACGAAAATAAATATGACACGGAAATAGAAAGGAAAAATAAATGAAACATTGTAAACTGAGAAACGGTGTAGTTATGTGTATATTTCGCGTTGGATATAGTTATGCGATTATAAATGTAATAAATAAAGACCAAGGAGAATGGGAGGGTAAAACCAGTTGAAAAAATATTATTTTAAGGTAGGTGTGTCTCTAATTTTTCGTTGTCAGGTATGAAAAAAAAATTCATCAGACGTTATGCAACGACTATAAGGTGATGGACAATGAGCTAAACTGTGAAGATTATTTCGATGAAATGAATGGGCATAGAATTAGTCACTATAACTCCATGAATTTTTAAACACTATTTAAAAAAAAAACCGATAAAATAAGATATGCTTCAAGATTGAAAAAAATGTTAAATATAGATAAATGTGGACGTGCAATACCAACAAGTTATTATTTATTAGTATAAACTTGAAGTTACTATGTGAAAACTCTATTGAAAAAGTTTAGTTAGACTAATATTAGATTATTGTATAACCAGTGGTATTCCCATTAATTTTTTTTAGCGTATACTGAACTGCCTAATTTGATATATCTTTCTTATGAATTATATTGTTTACAGGGAAATAGATATCAATTATACAAAAAATTAAATTAAAATTACAAAAATAAAACATTCGACAATTTTAAAAATAAAGTACTATTTTATGTATCGTAAGAAAATTGTGAAATTTACAGTTACTCATAATAATTATTGAAATAAACACAATTTTAATTACTATTTCGATTTTGGTATCATAAATGTCATGATCGGTTTTTAAGTGTAAAGCTTTTTCTGAAAGGAAATAGGAGTGGAAGGTACTTAAAAGAGATCAATTTTCGATTTTCTCAAGAGTTTTTTCATCAAATGTGAAAAACCGAAAAAAAAAAACGGGAAAATGTACGAAATATATTAGTAAAAATATTACGATTTTTTTTTTCTGCAAACAACTTTTCTACCAGCAATTTTGCTCTGAATGACAATAAATAATAGTACTTTTTATGTAAGGAAATCTGACTGAGGAGGTACTTTAGAGAGGCCATTTTTCGATTTTCTCAGAAGTTTTCTCAAAAAATACGATAAACCGAAAAATAATGTGGGAAAACCGAGAAAAACATAAGAAAAACGGCAAAATCGGTACATTAAAAAAATAATATATAATGCCTTTTTAATTATTTTACCATAATATGATATATATATTGTTGACATATCACCATTATCAACTGAATTTCGCTCAGAATCGTTTTTTCGTTAGCAATGGTTTATCGTTGCTTACAGATGTACATTAAATTCTCTTTCTATTCTTTCTACTCCTACTTTTTCTATTCTACTTACCTTCCCAACTTCCCACTTATAATAATAGGTGCACCCGTCCCCATTATCTTAGGACAGCTTTTTTTCTTTTTTAAACTATTTAAGAGTATACTGCGTATACTCGTGATTTTCAACAAAATGTAGTTTAGCGTATATATAGTATACTCTATGGAAACACCACTGTGTATAACCTCAAAATAATTAAAAGTTGTTCGTATTGCTTATGAACAACAATCAAAATGTAAACTTCAAACGTATATTCAAAAAAAAAATACGGACATACTTCGCACATGGATGCAGCCACTGAAGTAGGTGAGAAGTTGAGAAGGTAGAATATAGAAGGGAATTTAATGCATATCAATGATAAATCATTGCTAACGAAATAACGATTTTGAGCTGAGTTAAGTTGATAGTGATGCTTAAGTACAGAATAAAGAAATATAATATAAAGATTAATAATTAAAAGAATGTATTGAAATCGAAATTTGTTTTTATTTTATTTTGGATCGGTCAATACTATAGACTCTATAGTATTCTTTTCTCAATAATGTGCGTTTTCATGACAACAATAATTGTTTAAAAAAGATTTAAAATAATACAAATTTAATAATAACAAAAAATAAATAAAAATAATTGCCAATGACAACCTTATTTTTAATCTTTTAATCTTTTTTAATCTAAAGAACCCGGTTTTCTTTATTATCTCGGATATTAATGAGTATTTTTAAAAATGACCTCTTTAAAGTATCGCTCAGAGAATATTTTCTTTTAGAAAAGGTGCTATACTTGATAATCAGAATAAGCTTTCTGGTAGAAAAAATGTTTACATATAAAAAATAAATAAAAATCATTATAAAACGAACACATTCTTCGCTTCGCTCGGGGTCTAAAATGTTAACATTACATTCAACATTTAGATTCTGAGCATGTATAGGATTGTATTGGTTTACTTTATGATATCATCTGCATTTTTTTTCTATTACTAATCAACTTCAGGATTGATTATTGTGCAAATAATTTTGTCTATTTAATGCATTTAGGAGGTTAGGTTTAATTTGATTTAGGTAGGTTAGTTTTTAATTGTTCGTGTTTTTGTTTTTGAAATGAGAAAAATGGATCAGAAAAACGAGAATATTACTGGTTCTGTTATTTTCAACTTTATTTTTTTATTAAGTACTCTTTATCTGTATCAATAACAATTTCCAAGCTTTCTATTTATTATTTACATTCTAAATTTCCATTTACATAATTTGATTCATGTATAAAACCAGCATATAGGTATGTATAGTTTGTTAAGGGTATTATTGTGTTTAAAAGGAATTTTCGGTATTTTTTTTATAGAGCTATTTTTTGATAGTTTTTACAAGACATTTGAATCCGTGCTCCATTATGGTAACTTTCTAATATTAATAGTGTAATTTTTATGTAAAACGACCTGTATACTCGAAATGATTATTATTCGGGGGAATAAATCGCAATCGTTCACTTCGAATACATACGGGATTTAATGTAGAAAACGGAAGAAGTATACAGAGGATTTCGCTTGAAGCCGAAAACGTGTTTCAGCAGACGATGAGACGTGCAATGCGGAGAAAGAAATTGTATATAGGTGTATAAAATATATTAACAATCATGTTATAATACCTATACTGGCGTTACTCTTCGGTGCTATCCGTACAGGTACAAGTCCCGAGAACGTTTATTTTTATTATGTATATTGTAATATGCCTACTGGCGGATTTTCTTCGTCGTTATATTCGACTAAAATGTCAACGTGTTACAATATTATCCGTCTATTAGTTGAAATTTATTTTAATATTCAATGATTTCTCTACAGAAAAAAAAAACGCCAACTCGAATCTTGATTAAAGTGTCATGAATATTATGTATACAAGTATGCAATTTATGCAGATAGTTGCGCGATAATGCAAATAATTTGTTTTTCGTTACTGTCAAATCGAAAAATAAAATATGTAGACGAAAAAAAGATAGGTGCGCTCCACTGTTGTTGATAGGAAGTTGGGTAGGTACTATGTATAGAGTGATTTAATTTATAATATAGGTCGGCAATAATAGATGATTATTAACAAAAAACGATTCTGAGCGAAGTTTATTTAAACACCTTTCGAAATGTTGTGACTTTTATGATATTCATCAACATTTAAAAATGTTAAATACTTATAAAATTACCCTCAATTTTTTTTTCACCATTATAGGTTCAACTCACGATGAACCTCGTGTATTTGAGCATTTTAACTGGACTAAAACGATATAATAAAGGCCGAAATAATATGACAATTTCAAATACCTATAAATAGATCAAACATTTTTTAAAAATGTGTTCACTTTTATAAAGTGCTATTATAAGTATTCCGTGAAAATTACAGACTTGTGTAATTATTTATAATCGAAAAAAAAAGCAAAACAGTGAATAGCAGAAATCTGTTTAATTGCATACATTTTTATGTTTTCCCCCGGGTTTCCCACTTATTATGAAAAATACAATGAAAATCAAAAAAATGACTACCTTAATGCACTAAAAAGACAGAATTCACTCCTAAAGTTGAAAATCTTAGTTTGGATTTCTGATAGAAATTTTGTTTCCAGATAGACAACGAATAAATAAAACACATATCATAATAGTCATATCCATTTTGGGGAGAATCAAAAATACAACATTTCGTTATACCGAGATATTTCAAAAATTTCGCAGTTATAATATAAAAATCGATTATTTTTCAAGCTGCTGGAAAATTTTCCCGGTAAAGTTTTTGCTAAAAATTAGACAACCGAGTTGACGTTTGGTTATTAAATAAATCACAGTATAATATTTGGATTCAAATGAAATATTATTTTAATTAAATTTTACACTTATATATATTTTTTTCTAGCTATAAGTTTTATACTAACTCTATTCTAATCGTTTTCGTTTTCTTTTGTACCTATTTAATAAACGTTGCGACTCTTGCATCGTTTTTAATTTGTCTCATATAATGAGATATGAGGTCATCCAATCACCCAGGCGCAGTTCTCATCCCTTCAATCATATTCTCTACAATTATTATATTATGCAGCTCTTTGAGGTGTCTCAGACATGTTCATTCATTTTCCAATGTCTTGCTCTAATGGCATCCATGAATGTATGATGGTATTTAATAATTTTCACACAGTATCTCTTTATTTGTATTCCTCTCTACTCAACTCGTATTTTACATTCAACTCATCCAGTACCACATAACAAAATAAAAAAACTTCATAATAATATAAGTACACTTTCATAAGTATTAATCACGTACTGTTAAATATTTTAATATATGTTTGTTTAACACAATTTCACTAAAAAAGTAAAACACGAATATTAGACATTTTTATGAATGAAAGTGAACAGGAACTTATATGTTAAAACGTGAATGCCATTAATATGTCAATGAAATAATCCCAAACCACATAAAAATATATTATTGGCTCTTAATTTTTTATGTATCTTCCTTGATAATAATAATAAAAAAAAAAAACATAATTATGTGATAGTCTTAAATACTGGTTTGATTCTATATACTCAAATATATTTTATAACTCATAAAAATAGGCCATGAGCACTATGGAAACATAAATATTCAAACGATTTTCAATAATGGTTACCTAATTATAAAGATCTAATGTAGTCATTCAAAAAATTAACGCGATACCTTTAAATTTATTATTGAAGTTTTTAAAAATAGTTCAGGTATGGGTAAGTTAAATACATTTACCTACAGATATAAATCACGTGAACATACAGTATGATAGTACCACGACAAGATCGTTTGGAAACGGTTTAAGTTAAATAAAACGAGTTATTACAGCGTATAAAATATAATACAATTAAAAAGTGTTAGGTGATTAAAAAATATATATTTATATATATTGTAGATGATGAAATGGAAAAATAAATATAATTTCTTAAAAAAAAAAACAAATAAACATTAACGTTTCGTTTAATGCGTATAACATGATACCTATTAATATTCAAAGGCAGGAGTTTCTGTACAGGAGAAACCTAATCTTGATAAATCGGCCGCAAAAAAGTGATCTAATATCAACACGGGGTCACTGAAGAATTATAAATTAAATTTTAAACAAAAAAATGAGCAGAAAATTTTCGAAATTTATTAGTTTTATAATAATGATGTGAGACATGGGTTTTTTTTCTGTCCGTTAATAATTTTTCTACTAAGAATTTTGCTCCGATTTTCAGTGTAGGATCTTTTCTGTAAAGCAATTGTATCTAGTTGGTGTATTCAAGAAGAAGTAATTGATTTTTCTTGTAATTTTCTTAATAATTTTGATCAACTTAGGAAAAACGTAAACAAAACGTTAATATATACGATAATATATAGAGTGTAACTGGACTATTTGGACTAATTTTTAGTCCTGTTATATTCTGTATATCAAAAACGATTTGAGCTATTTAAAATAATTTAAATTTTAAATCGAACATTTTACAAAAGGTTTATCGTAAGTTGTACTTGGTGGTAAAAAAAATGTACAGCGTAATATAGAAGTTTTCAGTTTAAATGTTGACAAAAATCGTGAAAATCATGGTATTTCTAAACACATTTAATCGATTTTTGCTCAGAATTGTTATTCATTAGTAATGATCCCGTCAGCAGTAACAATTCGTTAGGGGTTTTTTTAAAATAATTATAGGGTGTGCAAAGTCATTATTTAAAAATCACTATGTGTACCAAAAATAGGTAAATCATATTATGTACCTAATACGAGCGTTTATCAAAAACTATTATTTTCTAATTTTTCTTCATTAGATTAACGTACAATTAAGAACTGGCGCTTCTTTCGAAAGCTCTTTCCGTACATTTCTTTGGTACGATATCTGTAAGGATAAGTTCCTGTCTATTATTGCTTAATTATTACAGATAACTACGTCAATAATACCAATCATAATACCAACAAAACAAATTCAGCGTAGAGCTACACAATAGATATACTTCGCAGTTTATTGGGCGATATAAACGCCATTCTTCTCACGCCACAAAATATTAATATTATTATAGATACCTACCTACCTACCGCTGTATAGTTAAAACTAACCGACAATATCTGCAGATAATATAATGTTTCAATTATGTGAAAATCAATTAAAGATTGAATAATTGGACTGAACCAGAAAAATAAATGTTCAAGTTTGCAAGATTACGTGCGTTCAAGTTTTGAAAATAATATCGCAAAACTATGGGCATTTAAAAATTATCCTTTCACGCATAGTGTATCGGTAACAGTATTTTTAATCGTTTGAAGGTATTTGTTAATGGGTAGTTGTTGTGTATACGCCCATCAATATATCGAGTATGAGAAAATCGAACGAAAAATTATATAAATAATTAATTGACCGTTCTCCAAATTTACCCGAGCAATCTGAAACGCGCAAGTGATCCGCAAAAGAGATTCGAGGCGGGCGGAAGAAAAACCTACACATGGCACACGGCCATGTGCTGTATATCATTATAGCCTATGGGTACAAGTTTGATGTACGTTATAATTATCAGAACAGCTTGGAAATTTTACAGGTACTAGATGAAATGTGCACGTAAAAATATATAATAAAAAGACTGATACTGCTTAGATGTGCCACCGTTTTAAAATGGATTTTGGAAGGTAGAATGTATAAAGTAATTTAATTTATATCTGTAAGCAATGATAAATCATTACTAACGAAAAATGAATGAACACTGTGTACATATTGTGAACCTAATTGAATTGAATTGATTTTTATTTAAACTACAATAACAACTTATTTGATTTAAACATTTTTTTTTCTCTACTAATTATATATGTATTTATTTTTTTTTTTACTGTTCTGTTTACTTTAATATTATCTTGATTATTTATTTATTATTATTAGGTTATCCACAGTGGTGATTTGAGCCATTATACTCCTTATTATTTTATTGTAATTGTACTAAAATGTATTTATAAATGACAAATACATATTTTTATATAAATGTGTTTGTTTTTTTTAGATTTTGATTTTTGATTGGATATTTTAGATATAGCAAGGTTCATTTTTTCCAAGATTCCAGTATGCGCTTAGATATACTATTCTGAAATGATATAATAGCGTTAAAATAAAATAATAATGATGATAATATTATATTATATTAATTCAAGTCCGTCTGTAAGTTTTCATTGTTGTGCAACTCACACTCTTGGATGTATTTTTTAATCGCGGACGTTACGTATAGGTATATACCACGAGAACCCTGGTCCCGCGACAGATGATTCATCGCGAGAGTATTATATACTTATACAATTTAATATAATAAAACAATATTATACATTCTAGTTCCATATTTTTTTTTCTTTTGCCGTCTGTTCTCAGTGGCTACGGCGGCACAACGGTCACAATACGATGACACAACACCGGAGACCCGTACCGGTTGACACTTAAACTGGTTATTTTCGCGATCTTTCCGAATGCGCGTATATGCCCTCCCCGTATAACATTGTTAGCGCATTGTATACAGCAAACACGTACGGGCGAATGGTATGGTATAAATAGCCAAATAGATTTTCAACAAATCACCATTCGATCGAGTACCATAGAACAGCAAACATGAAATTCGTAAGTATAATAATTTAAAGTCTTTGAGAAATCATCGTACTTACAATGAATAATCGTAGCTCGACACAGCACTCCATGGGTCCGAAAAATTAAACATTATCCGATACTAAACATTTTTTTTTTCTTTTTTTCTGTTTCACAGATATCCACTTTAGTCGCTTTGGCCGTAGTAGCCCTCGTCCGGGCCGAAAGCTCCGAGGACAACTCCGACATCAAGTCACAGAAACAGACAAAACGTCACCTTGGCGAAGAACATGGTTTCAGTTCTGCAGGTTTGGGTTACAGTTCCGGCTTGGGCTATGGTTCGAGCTTGAGCTACGGTTCTAGCTTGGGCTACGGTTCCGGCTTGGGCTACGGTTCCAGCTTGGGCTACGGTTCTGGCCTTGGATTGGGTTCTAGCTTAGGCCTGTCATCCGGTTTGGCCACAGGTTATGCCGCCACTTCTGGATTGGCTTACGGGTCCTCGTACGCCCCTGCTTACGGTGGGGCCGCCATCGCTACCGCCGCCGCCCCTGCACCAACCGCAGGTCCATTGATCCCAATATCCAAAGAAGTGCACATCATCAACCGTCACGCACAACCCGTCTCCGCCCCGTACCCGGTCCCTGTACAGAGGAACGTTGCCATCCCAGTACCACACCCAGTTCCTTACCCAGTGGAACGTCCTTACCCAGTCCGCGTTGCCTCTCCATACCCAGTGCCCGTTGAAAGACCAGTGCCATATGCAGTCGACAGGCCAGTTCCACAAGCCGTACCCGCCCCATACCCAGTTCCAGTCGTCCAAAACATCCCGGTACCAGTTTCTCGTCCAGTCCCAGTTCCAGTTGTTAGACAAGTGCCCGTTCCAGTAGCCTCACCAGTTGCCGTCGCCGCACCAGCTCCAGTAACCTTTGCTGTACCAGCATATGCATCATCTTACGCTGCACCGGCATACGGGTCATCTTACGCCGCATCAGGATACGGATCATCTTATGGCATACCAGCATACGGTTCGTCTTACGCCGCATCAGGATACGGATCATCTTATGGCATACCAGCATACGGTTCGTCTTACGCCGCACCAGCTGCCATTGCAGCCCCAGCATATGGTGGATACGGTTTGGGAGCTTCCACCTATGGCTCTAGCTACGGATCTGCAGCATATTTGGGATCTCATTACAGTCCATCCCTGTCCTCGTACGATTCATATAGCCCCTCTTTGGCCGCTTCGTCATACGGATCATACGGATCGAGTCTACCCTCATACGGATCATACGGTTCGGGTCTATCCTCATACGGATCATACGGTTCGGGTTTGTCCTCGTCTTACGGACATGGGCATTCTAAATACGGAATCGCAAAACGCAGTTCCAATTAATTTGGTTATTAGATTTCCAATAGTTTCCTAACATCACTCAAGTCATACTGTGTTAGGCCACCTGTTTTGTAATTTTTTTTTATACTTAGATTGTATTTTTTATACTTGTCAAATGTTAACTGTACTCAATAAAGTATTTTGTTAAACGATATATTACGTGTTTGTTCAACAATTATTAATATGGAAATGATAATCACACTTTGTCTATTATCCTTGTGGGACATCCACTTCTATGTACTTCTCTGTTACCGTACATATGAAACGACAAGTATAATATTATAATATCTGCGTATTTATTTATTACGCTTAAATATTCAGCACCACTCGAGGTAAAATAAATTTAAACTTACATACTATACCTAGAGAGATTGTAAACTTGTACTTAACTACTGCTGCGAACGTGTGACGCAACAGTAATAATAACGTTTCTAAAAAACATCGGCATTTTGTAATTTTTCGTTCTTAAAATTAATTTCGTGTACGGTAACACAGTGTATCAATATTTATTTTATACATTAATAATGTTATTTTTAATAAGTTGATATGATAATATTTCGTATTTGGAATAAGACTATCTAGGTAATGCAGGTAATGTTATCAACGGTAGATATGCGAAATATAATTTGTGCGGTTACGGAGAACAAAATCCAGTTCGTTGCATAAAATATCGTGCCACCCTTAGCGTCATGTCGTGACTCAAAGTCATGAAATTATTGCCACAGATAAAACTAAACCCAATAAAAAGGAAAAAACTCATCTGGGGATTTTCAGAAACATAATAAGAAGGACCACATTGATTTTTACGATACAAGTGATAATATATATTATATATATTTATATAACAATACGGTAAATATTAAATACGATAGACACAATAATCCCTGCAGTGAACATTTACTTTGTGTTGATGGGAGAGCTGTGTTTTATTTATTATTATGAATTTACTTATATCTGAACTGTAATAACAATCGTACGAGTAATGATGATTATTGTGATGTTTCTTGAGATTAAAATTGCTTTAGATAGGTACTCGTAGATGGGTTTTCTCGGGTTGACTCTTTTCCCGGTTTTTCACATTTGTTGGGAAAACTCTTAGGAAAATCCAAAAATAACCTCTTTTGCTGAAAGGCGCTACACTTAAAAATCGGAGCACGATTTTTGGTAGAAAAGTTGCGTACAGATAAAAAAAAAAATATATATCTTAGTAAAACCATAAACTTCTTCGCTCCACTTAGAATCTAAAATTATTACAATTATTATTTTGCCTTTTATTTTGTGGTATAATTATTAATATTATGGAGGTTATAATACTAAAATTGTTTTATTGGTTGTTATGATGAATTTTTTGATAACACATTTTTATTTTTCTGATTTCAATGGTTCAGTTTCTATTTCTACATATTTTGGTTTTAGCCATACAAGACAATCCAATTCACCTACACACAGATTTTAGTAGGTACCTATATTTTTAATAAAATAAAAATAAATAATTTTGAAATCATGAAGTGTTTAATTATTATGTAGGTATAATAGCTCAATTTCGTTAAGATCCGTGTAGTCTGAACTCTGAATTTCTCTTTGTTTTTGACAAACTAATTAAACATTAACTCTGGTAATTGACTATGAACAAATTTGACATTGAATAATTAGGTTGAGGTCATTACTATAAAATTATAATATCTAAATAAAATTAACGTGTTTAAAAAGAAATTAAAATATGTGTATAAAATAATAAACACGGGGGGTGTACTAAATTAAAATTATTTTATAGAATCAAAGCAATTAGCGTTTATAAAATTATTTAGGTATTCTACCTAAATACCTCCTGAAAAAAAATACTTTTTTGGAATACGAGTATAATAATAAATTATATTCTATGCATATTGCATATAGTATTATATAACTATTATTTAAACCAATAACTAAAACTAATAAACTTTTTATTTAATTTTCAAGCATTTCTGTTCGGTGAACCAATTTCATCCTCATAAAACAAACAAAATACTGAAAAATCTCGGAAGTATCAAGTTTTGAACAATAACTGAAAAACAGTTCTGAATGGCATTTAAGTGTTGAAACCACGTCTAGTAAATATCAATATAAATTGTTTGTCCCAATGTCAAGTCTTTACCATTATTTTTGACTGAATTACAACAAAATTGAAAATATTAAATTTATTTCCGTAAATTATCCAGTTCTTTCTAGTTTTTTTTCCCGGTTTTGCTCATTTATTAATAAAACTACAAGGAAAATCAAAAAACGACTTTTTTATTCATCAACTAGATCCAAAATAAGGAATCATGGCATTTTTCAATTGGATCAACATTTCGGGTAGAAAATATAAACTGTAACAATTAAAAATAATAAAATCTTACGCCGTAAATTTGTATTGAAGTTTTTATTTTACTTCTTTTCCGATTTTTTCAAATTATTATGAAAACTGATTTGTGAACGCCTTTTTCTATTGAAAAACTTTATATCTAATTAATAATCTTTCAACATAATTTGGAAAATCCGAAAACAAAGTTTAGGAAAACCGGACAAATGTGTGTGGTGTGCCGCTGCGTTACCGATGTCATTGGTTTTAATTTGTACGTATACTGTTTTCAACCAGACTTATTGTTTTAATCAAAAAATGCCAAGATTCCTTTTTTGTTGTATTTGGAATACAATTGGTGAGTAAGAAAATCATTTTTTTTGTTTGCAGTTCACGAATGGCAGATACTTGGGATACTATCGCCGTCGCTACCGACCCATATCATGGGATCCTGGTACACGGATCGCGGTGTCGGTGACGTCGTCATCGTAGACTCCTCCCACACGGCGTGGCCAACGTCGCTGTCAAAGGCTCGCCGCCCTGTGCCGGTATAATAATAATAAAAAACCAGTGCATTAAATCCAACAGTATATTTTCTCCAGGAAAATGTCTTATAATTTCTCATTGCTAATAGGTTACTGTTTTAAGAGCGAAGTTAAAGAGAGGATGTATAGAATAATTTACTTTAGATAGGCAACAATAAATTGTTGCTAACAAAAACGATTCTGAGCAAATTAGTCCTTTTTTTTTTCATTGTTTTCAAGGTAATCCAGAAATCAAAAAAAAAAGGTTATAAAACATTTCCAGTTGTTCCCATTTATTTAAAACCAAAGGAAAATTTTGATTTTCCTTTAATATTTATTATGAATGTTCATTATAACGTAGGTTCATATCCTCTGCGGGATCGTTTGATTAATTTTGGATATTTAAATACGTTTTTAGACAAATTCCATGTACCAACAACATAGAGTCAAAAATTGGAAATAAAATCAAACTAATGAACATTTCAACATAATTAAATAAATTCGTATTTGTTTATATTAGTTTTATCACATCCAAATAAAAAGATTACTACTGCCATGGCCATGCCCAAATGTCCTCTTTCCTATAATTTATATTATTATCACGTCGTGTTATTCAATGATAATTTCAATTGATTGAAATCGTTGATAAATGACAATAAATCTTGTATAATAATCATAGTATTGGTACCGGTAACTAATTTTAAAACTTTTTCTTGGTTAATTGAATTTTTTTGTCTTATATAACAAATGCTGTGATACAATTTCTTCGTAATCGAAGAAAACTAGAATCTAACACGTATAAGATTACCTAGTTCATAAATTGAATCTAAAGATTAATTACTTATATTATATTGTTGGTCTACATAAACCGGAAAATAGAATAAATTGGAATACGAGAAAAATTAAAATATATTGTTACGATAAAATGTATGGCATATAATTCATTCATTACACGGGTGGTTTTTTTAAAATTCTCATTAATATTCGAGATAATGAGAAAACCTGGTTATTTAGGTTAAAAAGATTGAAAGATTAAAAATAAAGTTGTTATTGGCTACCGTTTTATTTATTTTTTGTTATTATTAAGTTTTTATTATTTTAATCTTTCTTAAATAATCATTGTTGTCATGGAAATGCACATTGTTGTTATCAGTTTACCATAATATGACTTATATATTGTTGACAAAGCAACACTACCAACTGAAATCCGTTCAGAATCATTTTTTCGTTAGCGATGGTTTATCGTTTCTTACAGATAAACATTAAATTCCCGTCTGTATTCTACCTTCTCAACATCCCACCTACAACATTGACTGCACACACGTGCAAAATATGTCCGTCCTTTCTTTATACTGTCGGATGAGCTCGGTCAACAGTAACGCTTTTTTAACAATGTGAATTTTCACGACAACAACGATTGTTTAAAAAATATTGAAAGATTAAAATAATAATAACAAAAAAAAAATAAAAACGGTTACCAATGCCAACTTTATTTTAACTCTTTTAATAATCTTTTTTAACCCAAAAAACCAATTATGCCTCACCATTACGAATATTAATGTGAATATCAGAATATCCTTCGGATAGATGGGAAGGTGGGAAATATAAAGTTATTTCATTTATCGTTTCGTATGATATAAACTCAGATATTTAATATTTCCAAATTTTGTTTTAAAACTTTTATAAAATTAGATACCACATTACACTTAATTTTTTTTTTATGACCACTAGAACAACTTGTAATGAGAATCCAGTTAAATTGTCAAACATTTCTGTTTAGTTTAACAATTTTATCCACAAAGTACCTACCAAATAAAAATTACGTAAAATATCGTAAAATCAAAATGTCTAAAATAGTTCAAAAATAGCTCAAATATTTTGAAAATTTTACCATAGCTAGAAAAATCAAATATAAGTTTTCTGTATAAATTTCAAATCTATCCGAATATTTTTGATTAAATTATATTAATAAACAAAATGTAAAATAATAACAGAATTATTTTCGTTAATTTTACCATAATTTCTACGTATTTTTCGATTTAGCTGAATTATTAAAAAAATTACAAAGAAAATCAAAAAACGAATTCCTTGGTCACCAACAAGATTGAAAATTTAACAAAATCGATCTCTTGTCATTTTTCGATTGAGAAATATTTTTTGTAGAAAACATAAGTTGCAAAAATAAAAACAATGAAATCAGTCACACCGTGGCCTGACGAAAATATTTTCTGGTTTACCTATAATTTTTTTTCGGATTTTTAAAATTGTTTCAAAAATCGCTCGGAAAATCAAAAAATTAATTCTTTAGTGTAACAACAACACATTTCTTTGCAGAAATGGTACTATACTAAACACATCAGAGCAAAACATATTTTTTCGAAAAGTTACAGACCAAAACAAAATGCATACATCATAGTAAAACTAATAGATCCCTCATTACGCTCCGAATCGAATATGAGTATGTAGGTATACGTAGATAAAAACAATAAATTATATACTATTAATGTTAAACAAATTTAAAGCCACAGACAAACGTATTTTAAAATTGGTAGATAAGTATAGTAAAATTATATTCCTACATTTATTAGGAGAATATCTAATAATATTGTATTAAAATAGTAATTTTAGGTTCTAAGTGGAGCGAGAAATATATTGGTTATACAGTGACGCTTATTTTTTAAAATTTTTTTTTTATATATACTGTGTACCTACACAAATTCTTACAGTAATCCTAATACAATTTTCAAGTGTAACAATTATTTTGAAACGAAATTTTTCTGTGGTGGTTCTTTAAATAGATAATATTTTTATTTCTCAAGCAGTTTTCAAAATAATTGGGAAAAACCCTGAAAAATTGTAAGAAAAACAGAAATTTTTTCTAGAAACATTCTTTTATTATTTTTAATTTTTGTTGTTGTTGTGATTCAGTTAAAAATCTCCGCAGAGACTTGAAATTATGAAAAAAAAACTTATATTTTTTTTTCTGGACATGGTAAAATGTTCAAGAAATGTTTGAACCATAGCCATTTTAATTTAACTAGTTGTGTAATTTTCATTTGTAGATGAACTAGATTTACTTTGTAGATAAAATTAAGCAGAAATATTTGAAAATTTGAAAGTATGTTCATTATAAGTTGTATTTAGTGGTTAAAAAAAATTGTTTGTAATATAAAATTTTAATTATATATTTTTTAAAATCAAATTTTGACAAAAATCGTAAATATTATGGACTTTCAAAACATAGATAACCGAATTTCGCTCCGAATCGTTTTTCGCTAGCAATGATTTATCGTTGGTTACAGATATAAATGAAATAACTTTATGTATCCCACCTTCCCATCTATCAGGATATTCTGATATTCACATTAATATTCATAATGGTGAGGCATAATTGGTTTTTCGGGTTAAAAAAGATTATTAAAAGAGTTAAAATAAAGTTGGCATTGGTACCGTTTTTATTTTTTTTTGTTATTATTATTTTAATCTTTTAATATTTTTTAAACAATCGTTGTTGTCGTGAAAATTCACATTGTTAAAAAAGCGTTACTGTTGACCGAGCTCATCTGACAGCATAAAGAAAGGACGGACATATTTTGCACGTGTGTGCAGTCAATGCTGTAGGTGGGAAGTTGAGAAGGTAGAATACAGACGGGAATTTAATGTTTATCTGTAAGAAACGATAAACCATCGCTAACAAAAAAATGATTCTGAGCGGATTTCAGTTGGTAGTGTTGCTTTGTCAACAATATCTTTATTTATATAATTTTACTGTACGTGTATATGTCTCTGAACTCCTCCTAAACGGCTGGACTGATTTAGATGGTATTCAAGTTAAGGCAGCACCGACAAAATATCGATCCATTTTTATACATACAGATTAACAACTGAATTATTAACTATACATTAATATAAATTATCGGCCAATGTTTACATGAAGGTATAAGACAAACACCGTGTCGTCTGCGAACGACAATTAGCTATAATACAGTATACGCGCTTTCCCGCTGTCGAGCGTCCCCACTCCCTGATAAGTTAGATTATGCTTAATTTCCTTTGAAATCCATCAACCCCCCTCCCATTTAAAAAAAAAATCGAGGTTTTATTATTTTTCGTATGAAAATCATGAAAAAATTGTCATAATAGAACACTTATTCCACCGAAGGTGGACTACCCACTTTCCACCTATTTTTTTTGATTCATTACTCACTCGGTCAAAAACTAAAAAGGAATAGGGGTAAAAAAACAATAGAAAATTGGCAACGCTGTGCGGGACAGCTATATTAGCTCCATGTTTCGTCGGAAATTTTATCTATAATGCAACTAAACGGCTGGATCGACTTGAATGAATTTATCCTAATCGCTTGAAATATCACGCAGAACAACGTCTGTCATTCATTCATTCATTTCATTCATTTTGTGTATGTATTCATTCATATCGCATTTGCTTAAATATTGAGCATTAATTTACGTGCATTAAATTAAGTTACGCAAAAAATTGCAAAAAACTAAGTTACGATAGTTACATAGAATTTTATTTTTTTGATATTTCAAGTGATTAGGATATTAAACAAAGTATGAAATGAAAGACAAATAATATAATAATTTCATAATTCTTTATTTTGAAATAACATAAATTTTTCTAAAAAGATACGTACATAAAACAATGCCACGTCTTCGTGGACGAGGAGGAAATATTGGACAACGGACTCGGAATTCACAATTAGTCCAGAACAGTCGGTTAAATAGATCAGCAAAAGATCAACTGACGGACAATGAAAATTTAAGAAACCAGGCTGCAATCAAACGTACTAATGGAAGTCAAGAGCAATGCAATGAACGCCGTCGAGCTAATGCATTAAGACAAAGACTGGCCCGTCAACGAGTCACCGACACATTATAAAATAAAACTAATATAATTATAATTATCACTATTATTTACACTATTCAAATATCACAATAGAACACATTTAGGCCACCGCAGGTGGACTACCCACTTTCCACCTATTTGTTTTCATTCAATTCTAACACAGCCAAATCCAAAATGAATATGGGTAAAATAATAATTGTTTAAAAAAGATTAAAATAATAAAAACTTAATAATAACAAAAAATAAATAAAAACGGTAGCCAATGACGACTTTATTTTTAATCTTTCAATCTTTTTAACCTAAAGAACCAGGTTTTCTCATTATCTCGAATATTAATGAGCATTTCAAAACAATGACCTCTTTAAAGTATCACCCACAGAATATTTCCTTTTAGAAAAGGTGCTATACTTGATAATTAGAGTAAGATTTCAATAAAAAAGTTCACATAAAAAAAAAATAAACATCTTTATTAAACTAATATATTCTTCGCTAAACTCAGAATCTTAAAAGTAATATTTAAGTAACTATGAAAATGTTGGGCAGTAAAAAACAATTTTTAAGCTAGTAGAGGATTAAAAAAGTCAGAGGTTAACCAAAATTAAAATTATATGAATTATGGATTACATACTTACCTACCATTTTTTTTTCTTCAAACTAAAAGCCGAAAAATATTCGATTTTTTTCTGCCATAATGAATAATTAAATAGATTTTTAGTGTGGAAAACTATAAGATACGTTTTATATGAAAACAATGACGAAAAATCTATACAAAATATTATTTCTTTGATAGTCAAGAGAAATAAGTGAGAACAAAATTATCAACGTACTTTCCTAATTTTTTTTCACTATTTAAAGGTTATATTAGTATTATCTACAACATCTGGGCTGACTTATTTATGCGTTAATTTTTGCTATCGCCAATTCAGTAAGTTCAATATTGCAATTTGCAATCATAGATATTATATAAGGTTGTGTGGAAGCCAGCGTATGCACGTTAACACCAACCAACAAAGTTTTAATAATAAAAGTTAAAATAAATAATAAAAAATAATAATCTTATAAATCTAATAAAATCTTATTTTGCGATAATATAGTAGTATAGTAAGGTTATTAATAAACAGCGGTGTTAAATTCAATTATTTACTTACGAAAATAGCATATTTTATGAAAAAAAGTCCTTATTTACTATTTATTGTTACAGTTGAAACTTAAAAAATATAAACAAATATGTATGTATATATATATTTATATAAATGGGTAGATAGGCCAATGGGTAGAGCTTGAGCCCTTTAGTCCCCTCCTGCGTACGCCACTGGTTACGAACCTTCCATCGCATTCTCATTATACGATTTACAATAATTATTAAAACGTTAACATCATATTATCCGAGTAAATGTCGAATAAATACCTTAATATAATTATTACGTATCTAATTACAATCGTTGATCATCAGTAACTAATCAAGCGGGATACTTTTGTAGGATGATACCCTTGGCGATACGTCTTATTAAACCGAGTGGCTAAACGTTGTATATATTTAATTCGTTTACCTACCGTCATTCAAGTACTCCAATAGGCAACAAGAACAAAAAAGGACCTCGGTGACATAACGGCCGGGAAATCGAAATTTCCACGGTTTCTTGACGTTTTTATTCGGTTACTGTTTATATAATGGCGATAATTGTACGATACCGGTGTAGTTTTCCAGGAGTCCTCACCAGGAAAGGTATACATCATGAATTTACAAGTGAGTGTTTAATAATATAACAATTATTTAGAATTTTTTTAGTTTTCGTACATCTGTAAAATATAAATAAAAATAAAATAAAAATCTCTATTACAATATAAAAAATAAGTATTTACTTTTTTTCATTATAGTATAATATTATAACCCAATACTTTGACAAAAAATATATTCAAAAGTCAGTTATTTAATTAGTAAAACGAATATGTATAATGTATATATGGAATTAGATCATATTTGCTATTGCAGATTTATAATATTATTAAAAATAATGGTTTTTAATCGACTTGTTTTCTTAATAATTATATTACATGTATAGTGATCAAGGCTATAATCAATTACCTACTTCCTTTTTTTTGATAGATATTGATTTTTTGCTTAGTATATTCGTATGTATTAAAAATTCGTATATGGTCAACCAAGTTTATTATAAAATCTATTGTATTTACGGTATTATTTCTAAATAATATAATAACACCCGTGAGCTGGAGTAGCAATGTTTCTTCATTAAGAGTAGAATTTTCTCCAAGCCGACTTGTCACAGTTACTATATTTTATTTACATTTTTTATAACTGATCTAAAACAGTTATGTTTACCTGAGTTTTATTACATTTTAGTCTGTAGAGGTATTAAAACCCGTATTTCCTGTGTAAACATGAAATTTGAACATAAAAATGAATTTGGAGGGGTTTAAAAATTGAAACACTTAAAAGTAGTTTTCATTTCCAGGCGAAACCCGACAAAAATTGCGCATTGAAACTTTGAATATTTTGTCTTATTTCACATTACTGAAATTTACTGTATTTTTGCTTTGGAAAATTCGTTATTTTTATTGTTTCTTGGTAGTTATGTACCTAATAATGTAGTGTTCAGAATATTCAAAAATATTTGTTTTGAATTTAATAAAAAGTAGGTACTTATACAAAACAACGGGTTAATTATTATATTTTTTCATTCGCTTCAGAATACAAATAGTTTAATACCTATTATAATATCACGAGTCGTTCTTCTCAGGCCGATTGTATTACTCGCTGTCAACGATATTATTATTATAAATTATAAAATATTAAACTATCATCGGGCCTATGCATTAAAATTTTTAAACTACATTACTATAGTCATTGCGATAAGTTATTGACCTTCGGTTTGTTCTTCCTAGTATTTTAATATCATTCCTGTCATTATTATAAGCAGTCACGACCAATTCGTTTTGGGCGTACGAAAACCGTTTCGTTATAGATCGATGACAAATGTAATAGCCGTAGGAAATTGTTAGGCTGATGGACTCCCAGATATATTATAGAGGTGTGATATCGACTGTGACATTGACCCAAAGTACGTATCGTACGTCGTGAGAAATCTATCACCCAAAGTCCCAACGATATTTTTAAATTTTTAAACGACTCCAACAAATCGAAACAGAATAAAACTGACAACATAATTTTGCGAGATGAGGGAAACGAAAAAACCCTCATTTCGCTTTCCGTGTGGTCGTTTTCGATTTGTCACCCACGAAAATATGAATGGTTTCTATAGAAGTCGTTACTATAGAGTCGTACAAATAATAACGTAAATGAACTAAAAAGTTATATCTTGTTCGCAGATTTTGTATTTGTGTGTGTTTGCGTTTGCGAACGCTCTGTGCCACGGCAGTCATGTAAAAAATGAAACGCCCGCCATTCACGAAAATCACGTTAAAAATGCAACGGCCGCCGTCAAAGAATCGAAAACAGCAAAACGAGGTGTAGGCCATTACAACCCGATGGGATGGGGTGCCCACGGGGTCGGCACGTACGGAGTTGCTACGGCGCCGGTAAACGGGTATGGATATGGGGTGGCCGCCGTACCATTACAAGGATACGGTGTATCGGTGGTGCAGGCCAACAATCAGCCCATACCGTATCCCGTGCCCTATGACCGACCGGTACCGTATCCGGTGTCTTACGATCGCCCTGTACCATATCCGGTGACTCAAGATCGCCCAGTACCGTATCCAGTACACGTGGACCGGCCAATGCCGTACCCGGTACAGGTCGACCGACCTATGCCATATCCGGTTCAAGTGACGAAACCGCTCCCGTATCCGGTGCACGTGGATCGGCCGGTACCATATCCCGTGCAGGTAGAAAAACCGATGCCGTATCCTGTGCAAGTGGATAGACCGTATCCGGTGCAAGTAGACCGGCCTGTGCCCTACCCCGTGCACGTGCCTTACAAAGTAGCGATACCGGTAGACCGGCCGTACCCGGTTCATGTGCCAATCCCGAAACCGTACCCGGTCGACAGACCTATGCCGTACCCCGTACAAGTTCCCGTCAAAGTGCCCGTGGCACAGCCAACGGCGGTGTATCCTATGTATTCGCAGATAATGCCCGTAGTGCAGCAACAGGCGTTAATGTTCCAAAAGGCCAACAACGAAAACAATTACATTGGCACGCCAACATACAACGGTGGTAACCAAGCCGGTTACATGTACAGTCCATTCCCGTCCGGTTACAGTATTGGCGTTAACCACGCGCTCATAGGGCTGGGCGCGGGAGGCAAAAGCGGCCAGGGCGCTGGAACGACAAACCTGAATAGTATGACAGGAAACATTTTAGGCAATGCATACAACGTGATGACTGGACTTATGACTCCAGGCGGTGCGATTTCTGGCTACGCGAACGGACACAACAACTATCTGGGTCCCAAAAATACGGGATTCACGACCAACATTAGCAAATGACACGGTAATAATGAAATTGACGACGACGTTCCTGATGATTTTTTTAATATTGTTTTATTAACGATTCACATCTTTTGGACATACAATAAAATATAAAATATAATAAATAAAAAAAAAATTAACAACAACTCTTAATATTATTTTTTTTATATACTTATGGTCTACTGATAGTAATAATATACGGAGTGTAATATAACCGATTTGACATAATGTGAATTTCGGCAATTTCGGTACGAAAAATCAAGTTTGGATAGACCTAATGAGTCGCTACTGTAGTAAGACGACCCGGCCGTATCCCGGATTAAGACCAAATACAGCCTCGCGAAACCAATTTTTTTTTAATATGTAGCCCAATGTACGGCCATTTGAATGTTACAACCAACACCTGGAACTTTATAGCTGTACAATTATTGCTTAAGTAACTAATTATATATTTAATAAGCTCAATTTTGGAATGTTGTCTTTTATGTATTACTAAAAATAAAATAGCCTCTGTCACTGTATAGCCGTAGGCACGTGCCTACTTTACTTTATTCTTTAAATTCAGGTCTGAGACGATTATACTAACTGAAATACGAGCAGTGAGAAGAATGACGTTTTCTTAAAGAAGTTTTCCGTTATTATTTTGACATTAACGACGGTATATAATAGGTAGGTGTATAAAAAAAAAATTCGGTAATATTATAAAAAAAAATCGGAAATCGTTATTTTCTAAAATGCATTTTCGAACAAAAGCGGATAGGGTCGGGCCCACCTGCAATCAACGTGCACCAACACTGTGTAGGTACCTATTTGGCATCCTTCGCCGCTTAATCGACGCGCTTCTATGTGGCCAGATAACTCGGAATATCGACACAATAATATTATTACTATTATATTCGTGGTGTTCGTCAATCAAACTCGTAGGTCATAATATTTGTTACATAATAATTATTGCTGTATCACGGTGTTTTCAAAAAATCATTCTCGAACTCTGCGTACATATAATACGAGAGTACAATGTCTACCCTATCACGATTGCATTATACTTCATTTTTTTTTTTTTTTTAAATCACACATTATTATTATACTAATGTGCATTATTCATTCTTTGGCGTCACTATAGAAAAGAGAGGACCTGTTCAAGCCTACGCGGTCAGTACTTATACATGATAATATAATGTGCGTGTCAGTTATAGGCCGAACCCTCTCGAATTTATATTGTTTGCTTAACGCGATCGGAGCAAATCTATTTGGTATAAGTGTCGGATGGTGTTTCGTGTTCACTATAAATAAATAAATACGAAAATATTGATACAGAAAATCCACTAACTGATACACGCATTACAAATATTATGCATAACTATTTTACCTTGAAACTATTGAAGTCGTTATTTATCGGTCAAAAATTTGAGTAACCACGACTGTTAATGAAAAAGTATAACAACGAACTGAAGATAATATTATTTTATATATAATACAAAATAAAATAATTCAATCGTTCAGCCAATAATCAGCGGCGTTCATACTGACATTTATTATCCAACTCGAAACGTTTGGATAATTTTGGCGTTATCAACTTGCAGTTTCTTCACATTTTTATTCGAAAACAAAAAGTCTATTACTACGATCGAATCGAAATAATATTATAATGCGTCGCCTTCATCATAACGTCTTGTACCTATGTACGATCATTCCGAATTGAATTATTCACGCACCTACACACATGAGTTGAATTGCTCAATTATACACGACCTAATATGTACGTCACTGGTTAATTTTTACGCACAATCACAATATTATTATTAATATTGCAATATTTTTCCCATCGCGTGTTTTGAGAAATCGGTCCACGATATTCATACACATACACACACTCACACTGATTTAGCAACACAGTAATTTAACAAGAAAATTCAATTGCGCTTCCATACGAGCAATCGCTATTATACATTGCAGTTGTATTATACTACAGAGACAAAGAAGGTTAAAAAAAATAACCTGTACCTTTATATATCGTTTTTCTATGTACAATGGTGACAAATTCCTTCAATAATAATTACCAAGGCAATTTGTATATTAAAAAAAAATCCATTTCTAACCTTTGTATTTAGTTAAATATTTAAAAATATCTATATATTAGGGTGCCAGTTAATTATATAGAAAGATAATTATTTGTCAAATTTTGAAGGGCGCCGGCGGGAAATTTGTTCCAATACATCTATTATTAGAGTCTGTAAAGTTTGAGCTCGATCAAACATAGTTAACACATGGCGACTTAAGCTCAAAGTTTTATGAAAAAACTTAAAATGTCACGGTTTGTTGCATAACTAATTAAAATTTTATTTTACAAAAAATTGTATAGAATCATTATTGTAGGTTAATTTATTTTCTAAAAATAATGTATTTTTACATTTGTTCGTAAAATTAATTCTTAACCGTGAAATAAAACATATACGTTGAAGCTCATGTTTTATGAAAATGTTATTTTGGAAATATACTTTATTTTTCATTGATAGGTACATGATTAAATATTTTTAAATAAAATATTTACATACAATTTAGATTTATACTTATCAAACTACTGTTCAATAATCGTTAAATGATTTCTTCATGACAATGTAGCATTTTTGGGATATTTTTTACGGTAATCTTGAACGGTCTATAATAAAAAAAATAATTACCTACCTTTAATTTTGTTTACATATTACTTATCTAGAAAATGGTTTTAATATTTACCTTTAATAAAAACTGTTTTTGGGTTTCATCTTTTGTAATTTTATCATTAAACTCTTCCATCAATTGTATGTTACTTTCAGCAGAGTCGTTTACGATTTTTAAGTTTCTTATGACAGAATCCCCTTTCTTAAATGAATCTATNACTCTTTCATCAAATAATGAGAACACAACCGTCTCTTCATTTAAATAATATAAATGATTAATTTTTTTCGTTAATTCGTTAATTTTTTATCAATTCCAAGCATGGATCCTACTCGACCTTTTTCTCTTTGCCTGAGTAAAAACTGCCTGTCTTCTTCAATATTTATAATATTCAAAGCGTTTTGATGGGCAATATCAAAAAGATCATTTAAAGTACCACAAAACTGTAACTCTTTTGGTTTAAATTTGTCATTTTTTTTGTTTTTGTTTTTTTATAGTTTTCGCCAATTATTATAAATATTTTTAAAATTATCTTTGCATTTGTGAGTATCTCTAATAGGAATTCTTGCCTTCTTCCAAAAAACTATACACTCATCAACAACAAGAAGGGCACTATCATTCAAATTTAATTTAGAGATCCTCATATTAAAAAATAAAACTCGTAAACAGTCACCAATTGACGGTAATTTCGAACCAGTAATTTGATGTTTCATATTACCAAGAAGAAAAATGTATTCACGATTAGACATTTTTAAGAATATACGTGGATGATATGGTATATATTAAATATGTAAATTAATGCACTTTTCAAGAAAAAAAAAACACTAATACTATATAACAACGCTAATAACTCAATATTCTCGATAGACGTACGTTTACGAACTAATTAAAATGACACTAGGTACTCTATCGATTTTAAGTTGTGTATGATTTAAATATAAAATAACCCAACTATTATCATTGTTTAGATATATAAAGATTAAATTTAGATTTAAAACTGATTATTATATTGTTGTTTAATATTTATATGAGAATTTGCTTATCACACATATTAAACGTAAACGTAAACGTATAAACTAGATATTACCAGGTATTTTTATAACATATTTTATTATTTTTATTGGTAAGGGTGAACTATACNTTAGATATATAAAGATTAAATTTAGATTTAAAACTGATTATTATATTGTTATTTAATATTTATATGAGAAGTTGCTTATCACACATATTAAACGTAAACATTTAAACGTATAAACTAGATCTTACCAGGTATTTTTATATCATATTTTATTATTTTTATTGGTAAGGGTGAACTATACAATGAAATGTAAAGATACATTTTTTTAGAAATTAATTTTAACTACAATAATGATTCTATATAATTTTTTGTCAAATATAATTTTAAGTAGTTATGCGACAAACCGTGAAATTTAACATTTTTTAGTCAAACTTTGACCTTAAGTCGCCACGTGTTAACTATGTTCCANCACTATTTTTAGATGCATTGGAACAAATCCCCGGCCAGCGCTCTTCAAAATTAACAACTTCAAAAATAAGTGGCACCCTAATATATATATATATGTTAACTTTCATTCAATTTTAAAAAACTATTATAAAATTATGAAACTCAATAAAATATAAAATATATTAAATAAATATATATAATATTTATATAATAAATATAAAATTAATATTAAACCCTAGAGTCAATGTTGAGCATTATCTAAATTAATTATCTTTTATCTTATCTAGATAATAAACAAAATTAGTTATCTTAGATGAATAATTGAGTTATCTAACGTAATTTACCTAAATAAATAAATATATTTACCTATTCAAAAAATTCGAAAAACTGAACTTGAAAGTTAAAAACCCATGTCTCATTAGTAAACTATCCTTGCACAAATATAGAACAAAATTAAAAACATAAAATAATAGGTAATAATAGTATCTGGATCGCTTATTTAAATTATAATTAATATAGCGATATCTACAGGCTTCGACTGAATAGGTTGGTCTAAACGGAGTTGACTGAGTTGACTGCTTAAAGATTTATTTTATAATTATCAAATTAATAATTAAGTTCAATTCAATATTATAAATTATAAAAAAATCTATACTTTGTACCCAACTTTCAAAAATAAATAATAGAATATGGATAGTATTATTTATTGACAAAAGTAAATAAATATAAAATAATTATCAATCTTTAAAAATTTGAAATTAAAATTTGAATGAATATTATACACATATTAGTTATTAGTTCAAAATTAAGTTCATTTTATTTTTTGAAGTAGAAATTGAGTACGAATTATAGATTAATTAATAAAATTAAAACAATTTTATCTTTACTTTTATCCAAATAAATAGGGTTTTATCTTTTACCTCTATCTTGATAAATTGTATCTAATTATCTTTTATCTTTATCTAGATAAATTTTTAGTTATCTTTGCGCAACACAGCCTAGAGTTTAGATATTTATGAGCACAAAAATTAATAAATATGTACACACGATGCACTTATATACTAAATTAAGTTAACAGATGATTAGGTAGTACTTTTATAAAAAAGGAAATACTACGGCACAGAAAGTTTTTAATGTATTGTGAAATGTTGGTAACTCTACAATAAATATGAAAAGATTATAGAGTTGTCCTGCGGAAAACATATTTACAATCGAATTAACAGGGAGTATAATGTTCTAGAAACTGAATCTTAATCTGAGTTAATTATCTATGTCACATATTATATAATATATATTATGCTATTCATTTTTTAGCGCATATAACCCTTACAGTTTCGGATCTGTCATCGGTTTGGTTAAAAAACAGAATTTTTATAGCAGACGACCCCCACCGTGTGCTATATTGTAACGATTGCCTATAAACGACTTTATCAACTTTTTCAAAAACCAATTTTTCTTTTCTTACTAGTCCATATTATATACATATTGTATAAGTTAATCAACCTATACAACCTATACGTAATCACGTACGTATTTCAAACTTGACTCGGAGTGAACACGTGCGGAACGTGTACATTATAATAATATTATAATGTCATATTCGTCGGCGTTGTGCGGGAGTCACGACAATAATACGGGTTCGTGTACTACTGCGGATATGTCGTACATCGCAATACAATAACGATTTAATATCCAGTCGACAAAGAGGTTAACAGCCTTTATTCTGTGAAAGGTGGTAGTGACGATGGAAATCCAAATAGTAGGGACATATTTTGTCCCCTAAAGCATAATGTTCACCCAGTAAATATAGCAATATATTTACGAGAGTAAAGGCAGGGAAAATCGCAAGATACTATTAATGTGGCTAAAAGTATCACTAGTCTGATTTACACGATTCGAAAAATCAAAATCCACAGTTAGATGCAAAATAAGGAAAAACTCACAACAGATGCCATTTTTTTTTTATTTTATAGTCTTCCTTTCCGTTATTTGAACTTGTGTTTAAGTTACTTTGCAACACAGTTAGGCCACTCAGTTTTGGACAGTATACTACTGTAAGCATGGATAAATCATTACAAATAAACAAATTTTCTGTGAGCAACTTAATTTAAAGATTGCGTAACTACGGTCAACAGAGGCAACAAAGTGCCTATAGTAACCCACACAACTCTTTAATCGAGTCAAATACTTTCAAAATTAGATTTTTTAAGTGTAAAATGGTTAAATCTTATACGTAAATGTTGATGAAGTGATACGTATTTCATATAAATTACTATACCCGAGCGGTAAACTCCGTATCTTTGATTGTGCTGCGTGAAACGTTTTGACCATTTTTATTGTAACCGTTTCGGTGTTTTCAAAAAAAAATAAATAAATAAAAAAGCTTTTTTTCCCAAAAAACGTATAGAGAATTCCGAAAAACTATTCAAATAAACAGTATATTACTGTCAGTCAGAAAATCCGTATCGCTCGGAATCATATTATATACGCACTAGTCGTGTAATACATTATAATGAACACCGCGATAATGTCTCGTCGAAGGCCGACTGCTGGAGAGTACGATACCTTCGCACGAATATTTTTCCAGATAATAATATTATTAGGCCGCTGCAATGATAATAATGATATGATAATATTATAACTTTACTGGGGCTATAATATACGTGTTGCAATAATTCAGTGCGAGAAAACGAACCGTGAAGAAACAATGGCGTAGGCCACGCGCTGGAAGACCACGAAGCGCCACGGCACAGGTCAAACGCGGGCTCGGTGAACGGCCCCACGAGTACAATATCATGTTGGGAAATATCCCTTGGGTACAGCCCACCGCATCACGGGTGGAGGCCGACTACGCACACGAATTCACATAAGTGATTTTACATTATTGTGAACGCCCCCACCCCCTTTCCTCTCAGTCGCCGTTCGGTCGTTTTTGAGGCTCAGCATGCCTATATAAAATGGATATCGTCCGACCCATCTGGATCACACGAGTTTTCGACCGACTCCGTGCCAGCTGCAGCCGTATAAGAAGCAACAGTCTAATATTACTATCAGTTTCTTGGCATAATCGTAAAAGAGTTATACTATCAATATGCAAGTCTGGGTAAGTAAATTGGATTCTATTATTTTATTATTCTTTTGTTATTAATAATATAGATACGTTATATATATACTTAGAACACTATTGAATGTCTTTAACAAAAATAATTCAATTTTAAATCAGACGTTCAAAACTGCTGTCTATCGTACTCACTGCTATGCTAAGATTTGTTTTCTTAAAAATGTTTGTTGTTTTACGTATACTCTACTGCTCAAATTGAAAAAAAAAGGACTTAACGTTAGTTTTTCTTGCAAATTTCAATTATTGAGCTCAAACTAACCCAAACATTATTTTTCAAACACATTTCAATAGGTACCCACATAATTAGTAATTAAAAAAAAAAAAACGCACACATTCAATAATACTGCAGCAGGCTATATTTTGTTCATAAATGTATTTATTTAATTTATACTAACATTAAAAATAAATAATAATATATAAGTATTTAATTGATACACACAGGATGTCCCACAAAGATACACCCATTGTATTATCTCCGGAAATAATGTTGAAAATCAAATTATGTTTTTTTTTTTTTTTTTTTGTTATTATTATTTTATTCATAATAAGGATAAGGAATGCAAATATTTATGTCAATTTTATTCTGGTAATAAACTTAAAAGAAAATAATAAAATAAAGTTATTTTTTTAGAAATTTGAAGGTTCTGAACTGAATTCTGAAAATTCTGAACATTTTTACGTATCAACTTTTATTTTCATTCAATTCGTAATTTTTAATATTTTTTTAAAAGTCAAAGAAAAAAGTATAAACTCAATTAGCCATAATAATAACAATAATAATCAATTAGCGAATGCGATTACAGCCATGCTGCATAATTTTGGTTATTTTTCTTCACCACTATATAGGTAACACAAAAAATACAATTATTGAAAATCTTACGTTTTTTGTATTTTTGAGAAGATATCATTTATGCATAAAATTATTTTTCAACTATTTTTAGAATAACTAACTTACTTAAACTTATCAAAATGTTAGTTATAATGACATTGAACTCTTATTATATTTTTATTATTTTATTTTTTTCTTCGTGTTTGCATCGATATTGACGATATCGTATCGATCGTTTACATTTTCATTTAGTTTCATAATTTTTTATTAAATTTGTTTTAATTATTATTTTATACATGAATAATTAAAAATTGTATTTAAAGCAATAGAAATCAATTAAATATATGAATGCTTTGTTATTATACGTAGCGAAGAAGCTATAATAGTTTTACTAAGATGTGTTTTTTTCCCCTAGGAATACATTTTTTCGGTTAGTAAAAAATGCTCCAAATTCTTCAGACCAGTACTTTTAAAGAATTTTCAACTAGTGGTGTTAAGTAATTCGTTTGGATTCCCGTCGAATTTTCATCTATATTCTCAATGGATTTTCCAAAAATTTAAAAAACTGACAAAAAATCTCAATACATTGCCACAAGGGTTTTATTTTAGTTGATTTCTGGATTACTTATGGTTATAAAGAAAACAAAAAAGCTGATAATACTGATGCGTACGCCATTATTATATAGATGAGAAGTTAGAAAGATAGGATACATAAAATTATTTAATTTATATAATATGTAATCAACGATAAACCATTGCTAAAGAAAAACGATTCTGAACAAAATTTATATATGATTTGTAATTCCGTAATATTTTTACAGTTTTCTTTCTATTCTTTCTTTTCGGTTTTGCTCAATTATTAAAAAAAACTACACAGAAAATCATAAAACTACATTCTTACACACCAACTGGATTCAAAATATAATAAAAAAAGTATCTTGTCGTTTTTTATTCAAGCAATATTTCTGGTACAACACATAATTTGTAAAAATGAATAACAATAGCATCGGTAACGTCGTGGTGCATCTTAATTATTAACCGTTTTTCCTATGATTTTTTTCTCGGTTTTTCCAACAATTTTGAAAACCCCTTGGACAGTAAAAAAATGATTTCCTTCATGCCCTATAAGTAGATAAAACACACAAAAAAAAAAAAAACACACATCATAGTACCAATAGATCTCTAGGACCTTAGGCTACGAACCTAAAATACGACTGCTATGACTTAACCAGTTTACCGAATCGTTCTTTGTTTGTAATTATTTATCGTAACATGCAATACCTATATAAATTAAATTATCCAAGGCCTTCGAAATTTCACACTTACTTAATAGTTGTATGCATAAATTATATCAACAAAATTGTAAATACAAGTACCTATAATCGTGTATAATTATTACGATTTTAATCGTAAAGTTTACGCATGCGAGCAACTCGGGAACCCTGTTTTTCGTACACACACTTTCGTAGATGTGAAATGTATTTGTTGTTTTTTTGTTTATAGATTTCACTTTTATTTGCGGTGAGTGCGAGCTTAGCCTTAGTCAGTGCCGAAACGGCGGATAAGGTGGCCGAAAAGCCCATTGAAAAGAAACAAGGCAAGCGTGGCCTTTGGGGTTTGGGCTACGGCGGATATGGTGGCCACAGCGAATGGGACGGCCTGGCTGACTACGGACTTTTAGGATCCGACCACAGTTACGGACACGTCAGTTCGTCGGTGCACGTCACCAAAGAGGTGCCCGTCATCGTAGACAGGCCAATCATCGTGCCGGTCGAGAAGCACGTACCGTACCCGGTGACCGTCGAAAAGCCTGTGCCGTACCCCGTGCACGTCGAAAAACACGTGGCGGTGCCCGTCGACCGACCTGTCCCGTATCCGGTCAAAGTGCCGGTTAAAATCCCCGTCGCCCACCCGGTCCCGTATCCCGTGTACGTTCACAAGCGCGTACCCGTATACGTCAAGGAACACCACGGACACGGTTATGATAGCTACGACTTTGGTCACGACAACGGTTTTGGTTTCAGCAGCAGTTACGCGTACCACCATTAATCATTTTCTGCAAACGTAACACTATAATGATAATTGTATCATATTATAATATTGTATATATTATACAGTTGCTCATCCGAAGAGATTTGCATCTTTATCGTATATATATATATAGATATATCAACCAGACCTATGTATAATAATTGCGTTTTTTACCGTTTTCAACATTGTTTTATTACTATAATGAATACTATTAATGTACGATATTTGATTGCATTTAATCGACAAACGAGGCTTGAGAAAACATTTTTGATTATTTTTTTTTTTAATTTTTGTGAAGTTTAAATTAAAAAATCTCGGCCGAAAAATATTACGAATTGTAAGTTATACTTTCTTTTTTTTTTTATACAAACCTAATTTTATCCTATAATCTCAACATAAAATAACTATATAGGTGTACATAATATTATATTTGAATAACAATATTAGTTTTTCAAAGGCTTAGGTGTTTTTATTAGTAAAAGTATCACGATTTTTTTATAACGTAAATTTAAAAAAAAAATGTAAAGATGTATTTTTCGCTCGCTACGGTACTTTATTGGAAAAATTGTTTTAGATTCCAAACAGGTTTTCTAAAAAATAAAACCATTCACAATAAAGGACATGTATTGGTTTATTAACATTAATTTTTGGGTTACCTTGAGTACAAGGGAAAGAAACAGGCCTAATAGAATACCTTACCAGATTACTGAGAAGCTCAGAATCGATATTTGATGAACTATCGTTGCTTTCAATATTAAACTAAATAAACTTTCAAATTATCTACCTAAAACTACAGTGGTTTAAGCATGGTTCGAAAGGTCTCATATATGTATATTAGCGTTCTAGAATCCATTTCGACACCAATTCGATTCAAAATTACCGCATCATATTTTATCGTGAACATGCAAAAGTATCATAATATACAATGGACGATTTTGTTATCAATGTTTTCAAATTCAAATTGCTTAGTCTTGAAGGCCTTCAAAAAAATTGTTCTGTGGTCGAAGATTTCGAAACTATCTAAAACCAACGCTTCGTAAAACCTAACTTCCCCCCCAAGTCATTAAAAATCAATAAATTATCTGCAATAATACAAATATTATAAATACGCCGCATTATTTCCGATTCGTAAAAAATAATTTACCTACATCTATTCATACTATCATATTATGAAGTAAATAATTAAAATCAATTATTTAAACAAATAAAAAAAGTGTTCATAAAATATACAGTCCAAGAAAATCTGATTTTAAATATTCATTAACGAAATTCGATTAAAAAAAAAAAAAAATGTTTAAAGATCGACCGTGGCCTATTAAGAAAATATCCTTCCCACCAATATACTAATAGTGTTTTGAATGCAAAATAATAAACCGTGTCTGAAGTAAACGGTTGTTCTGAGAAATGTGATCAGTAGACGGCTGGCGGTCAAAACTATCACACCATATTTTGAAATCACTTAAGGAAAGTGTACTTGAGGCGAATGATCAGTTTTAAAAAATTTGAAATCAATTTATTGAATTATGGGTACATTTATTTTATTGTCGTTTTATTTTTATTTGCTGTTCGTTTTTCTTTCTAAAATTCTTTCTAAAAAAATTGACTTTTAATTATTTATTTAAAATGTATTATTATTATTATTATTATATATTATAATAATATTATATTATATAAAACGCATTTTTTTAAGCTTTAGATTCACCAGAAAAATAAATTACTTTTTTTTTTAAATATGGATATAGAAATACATTTTAAATTTCTGTAAGGAAAGTTATATTAAATAAATTCTTAAAATCATTCAATTGAATAATTATTCAGATATAATTCAGGTATATTAATATATAGATTAAAATATCTAATTAAAGATTTTTGTTATTTTTAAATTAGTACTAGTAATCCTTAAATTAGAACTAGTAATCCTTATTTATCATTTTTATCATACATTTTTTCTTTTTTCCTATGGTTTTTCCCGGTGTATCCTAAACACTATGATTTTATTATTGAAAAATCAAAAAATGACCTTCTAAAGTACCAACTAAATAAAATTTCTCTTCAGAAAAGGTAATACACATGACACCAGAGCAAGATTTCCGGTAGAAAAGTTGCTCACAGAAAAATAAAAATAAATATCATTGCAAAACCAATGCATTCCTCGCTACACTCCAAACCCAAAATAACGGAAATCATTATTACGTACATTTTCTCGTTTTTTCTAAGTGTTGTCTGGTTTCCAAGTTATTACCAAAACTATCACGAAAATAAAAACAAATTAAGATTTTTTAGACAGTAAAACTACAATGTACAGTAAAATCAGTACATTCTTTGTTATAGGTAATATAATGAATCAAAATTAAATCATAAATAATATTATTTAAATTACATAGGTACTATTTTTTCTACATAAAAAGATATTCCTAGTTTAAATGGTCAGATAAATAATACACGATTATTGTATAATGTAATGCTTACAGATTTTAAGATAAATAAATAATAATATCACACGAATATGATTAAATTAATTAACTAAAATTAATCACTACTACAGTCCAGCAGATATGTAATGGAATTTAAAAAAAAAACATAACATCTTCCGTTGTATTATTAACTTGACCACGAAAATTATGTAAACTATGTAAACATAACCCTGAATCATTTACATTTACATTATAAGGAAACTTTTAGGGAGAGCTAATCTTCAGGTTAATTGAAAAAATAAATCCTCACTAAAAAATTTCAAACCGGTATTTCGTATACTATATGAATTAAATCGTGTGAATTCTATCTAGAGAGCCGTGCAAATTGCAAATCGTGTAATTCCTGAAGTACCTACCTAAAGTACCAGCGACATGAATATTTTAAAATTAATAACATAAATTCACTGTTATTCCGCGTTAACTATTGATGTATAACTCCGGGGAGCTGAAGCCTATTTATGAACTATTTGATCCAGGACGGCAAATATTAATACTAACGAATATTTGTATAATACGGTAAGTATTGTAGATTGTCTTTGTACCAACAGAGTGTGTCAAAAGTATTCAACTATACTATTACACGTGCAAAAATTGTTTGCGTTAAACACGTAATATGTGTGTGTTTGTCAGTTTGTTTTTTTTTATTGGAGAAATATTTTTTGCTGAAAACAAAACCTAAGCCATACAAATTTAAAATAAAGAAATCCTATTGCGCCGTAAATTTATCAATTTTAATATTTTATCATAATTTTCCATTTTTTTTTTTTTAAATTATTACAAAAACTAAATAGTTTAAATTATTTTATTTTGTTGCACAACGTTGCCAAGTTGTAATAAATAGATTATGTATTAAAATTATTTAATTACGTATTTAATGTATTATAACTAGCACTGATCTGTAATTAATTGTAATAATTGTTTTACCTTCAAAGTTAAAATTATCTATACGTATTATACGTTAATAAAACAATGCCTGTAATTGCCCATTTTTGATTCTTTAACAATTATAAATTGTGAAGGTCAATGAATATTTAATTTCAGTGAATTTTTCGATTACCTCGTTAACGCTTTCACCGAAAAACCTCCGGGATAAATATAGTCTTTTTATAATCGACTCTTTAGTGGCAGATTTTAGACGGTACAAAAAGTTCATGTATTCAACATTTCAACATATACATATGCATTTGTGTTGTATTTGATTCAAAAAACTACACGGGTATTTAAAATACACGTGTACAACAAATACGTGTATTTAACATACGTATAACAGATTTACGAGGAAATTGTTTTAATCGGGAACCCGCACGGACGGTCGGACCATATTAATAAACGTGTATTTTAAATTAAAATATATTTTGCAGTGTTCACTTACACAAATCAATACACGCGTGTGTATACACGAACTGTAACTGTAATAGCAACCTCTACTCTTTAGGGATTAATGTAAGACAAACAACCGCTAGGTAATATCTCGATTCTACTTAGGAATAGGTATAAGCATTGAAACTTAAAATATATTATTATGTCACTGCAGGATTAAAATATTCAATATACTGTAAACTAACTGAACACATTTCTGATATTATGAAAAAATAAATCCGCCTACGATTAAAACGAATATTTAGGTAATCGCGCATAATGTGGGTATAGGTAAACAAAATACGACTGTATACTTTAGCCGAAGTGGTTTTATAATAACCTGCTGCATACGAAGGATATATTTTTCATTGTGTTGCGTAACAAATATACCAATGGCTATAATAATAGTATAATATAAAGCTAATAAACATTAAAATTGGGAAAAAATTACGCATATTACCGTATTATATTTTATAATAATATGTAACATATTATTCACGAGCATCCTTGAGAGGCTATATAATTGTAGGTAGGTATAAACAAGTTCGACATCCGTACGTTGTCGTATCCGCACAGGTAGGAGTGCAGTGCACACGATGAACTGGTCTTTGTAACAATAAAAACCGACATGGGAACAGTCGTCCGTATACCGTCACTCGATTCTGTTAAGTAGAAACGGGCGGATGAGAAATGTTTTTATTTTTTTTTTTCGCTATTATGTGACACTTGTCTGCATATAATCGGTATCATTACGTAGTTCGCGGTCTTTTTTTTCTCTCTCTATACTTACGTTCTGAGTAAAAAAAAAAAAAAACCGTACGCCACTCCTCGAAATTGGAAAATACATTTTCGTTAACTATATTGTCCACTATACTCGGTGATTTTTAAGGGGATTCGATAATCATATTTTCTTTTTGTATTACTCATGCGCAGTTTACTAATCTAGATCGATTTTCCATTAAACAGTCCGGTCGATGAAATAGTGAAGCGATAAAAATTCTAAAAACAGATTTGAATTCAATGTGTAGTGTACGCTTTACAATATTGTTCATTTCAATTTTGTTTTTTTTTTTGTTTTTTTAATACACATATATTTTCAAATTTTGGATATTAAGGAGTAAAATTCGAAAAACTGGCTTGATTGATTTAATAATACACTCGATGGTGAATTCAAATATGTATTCAGAATTAATATCACTTTACTGTATTAATATTAGGACAGGAAATTGATATAAATTGTTATATGTTGCTGCGATAAAGAAAGGAAGTAGGTAGATATATACTTTTTCAGTCTAACTACGGACAACCTGGCAAAATAAAATACAAATTGTGGTATTTAGGTTGAGATTGAAATTAATTGAATACAATAACAAATAATACAATTAAAAAAAAAAACAGATACTAGAGATGGGTACAGCCACTGATGTAGGTAAAAAGTGGGGAGGTATGATACATAAAGTTATTTAATCTATATCTGTACGCAACGGTAAGCCATTGCTAACGAAAAACGATTTGGAGTGAAATTCGATAAAGCATATTTTTAAATACTGTAATTGTTACGATTTTCATTAAAATTTGATCTTAAATGCTTATGAAAAAAAACTACAGCATTAAACTCAGATTAGTATTTTAGACCACTATAAATACAACTCATGTAAGCATAGGCGTGCGAAGTTCGGGTCGTGCCCGAGTAAAATTAATTTATTTGGTAGATCCCCCTCTCAATCAACTTGTAATACCTTTCAATACTAGACAATACAAAATAATAATTAATTCTATAAATACTGTCTTAATATTAGTTTTCATAATAATATATTAATTACCTAATAAAATATCATACACTCTAAAAAATTAAAAGTTTTTTTGTAATAATCAATTGATAATTATAGTCTACAAATAAATAACTTAGATAATTACAATCAAGCTAGTATATTCGATAACACAGTCATAGAAAGTAAGAACAAAATTGGCAGTGAAGTCGAAATGTATATGAACTAAAATTTAAATTAAGGAAAAATAAAGTGATGGCAATTTTACAAAATCTAAAACTTGTACCTACTGCAGTTGTCATATGTCAACATAATAGCAAAATAAAAAAAAAAATGTCTATATAAAATTTTAGGATAGTGACAAGGTACGCCCTGTGCGCACGCCTATATAATATGTGGATACCTTGCATTCAGTTTTCAAGTATTTCTCTTAAGTCATATACTTGAATAATAGATACTTACCAAATAAAAATACATATATAAACACGAAATTATTAAATACCTATGAATGGCATAAAAAAAGTTTATGTTTTGAAAATTTTACCACGTTTACAAAAGGTCAATATAAGTATTTTGTGAAAACCACAGGCCTCTATAATAATTTTGAACAGAATAACAACAAAAAACCCAAATGCCTTATACCTTTCCACGTTTCCTACGTTTTTTCCCGGTTTTTATAACTATTAGAAAAACTATACAGAAAATCAAAGAAAGCCTTTCCTACTTATTAATTAGACAATATTTTTTTTCAGAAAATATGCTATTCTTAAAATTTGGACGAAGGTTTCTGGAGAAAAATATAATCTTAAAAATTTTAAACGATAAAATGGATAAGCCGTAGTTTGAAAAAATCGTAATTTTCGTCTTGTTTTGGTATTTCCCAATTATTATAAAAATTACTCTAAATATAAAAAAAAGACGTCATAGGATAATGAGGATT